GGATCCTTATCCCAGGAGCGCCGATTGTCTAGGGGAACCCAAAAGGGACCGACCCTCATGTATGGAACCGTCCCACGAATATCGTTTTGTTGGGGGGGAAGGGGGGGTGGGGGGGAATTCCACAACGTTCTCTTTCTCTCTGACATTAATGACCTGTGGACTTTGATCGATCCTTAGACCAAGTCATCTAGCACGATGTATCGCAGACCCATCTTGACGTCAGCATCGCGACACTGTGCCAAGGGGCGACCTTCAAGAGCTCTTTGTACACCTTTGCGAAGACAGTCAAACACCAAAAGTAGCTTCTTAAAACCCTCTGAGAACATTCCTGACGAGGCCCCTCCTAAACCCAATAAGTCAACATGTATGATACATCCCAAGGGCCTACCTTCCTGCCTTCCTGAATCGAACCCTCTTCATTAAACTACACCCAATGAGGCAAAATACAAAAATATCCCCAAGGGCCCAGTGAAGGGCTTTGGACTTAAAGCTCCTTGACCCGCATCACACGCAACACGAAATCCGGCCACAAGCATCTCGCAATGCTAGGGTGGCCCGTTAAACCCTCTGAAAGATACTCCTGAATATGAACCTCTAAACATCCTCTAGGCAACCCAATAAGGGAAAATGTAAAAATGTCTCAACCACTACTTGCTTAGGAACTCCCCCCCAAAAAAATGAAAACTACTTTTTCCTTATAAGGGCAATATAGGGGCTATTCTTTTACATCTCTCTGGGGGTTCTTAAGCAACTAGCGGTCAAGAGCCGATCGTTGGGTTCCCTGAACCCGAAACGCTAAACCCTAAACCCTAAACCCTAAACCCTAAACCCTAAACCCTAAGCCGGCCGAGCCTTGAGAAGCTTGTTCTTGTCGGAGGGGATGAAGTTGGGATCTTCGACGCGCTGCCGGATCCAGTCAATTTTCTGGAGGTCGCCGATGTGCATGTACCTGAGCGCGAGGGTTAGGGTTTAGGGTTTAGGGCTTAGGGCTTAGGGTAGTAGTTGCTTAAGAACCCCCCAAACAATAAACATTATTCTTCCTTATAAGGGTGACATGGGGATTATTACTTTTTTTTAAATTCTTTTTGGGGGTTCTTAAGCTAATCGTAGTTTTGTGAGGGCATCGGGTGTCCTCGACCCTAAACCGAGGGCTGCATCCCAAATAAGAGCCCAATATCCCTTAATTAGGGAAGATTGCTTAATTGCTTAATTTATAATAAGGATCCTTAATATGGTTTAAGGTATATTCCTTTATTAAGGGGTATTGGGCTCTTTGGGTACTGCTGAGCATGATGTTTGTTCCATCCGCTGGCGAGTCTCTCGATCCCCACGGAGCCGCAGTACCTGTGCAAAGTAGGGCGGCATAAGGCTTGGAGCCAAGTTTTGAGCATGAGGCGGGCGGTTTGGGTTTCGGGTTTGGGGGATCTATAGGCTTTAGTGCTTAGGGTTTAGGGTTTGGGGCATGAGGCCTTCGGTTTGGGTTTAGGGTTTGGGGGATCTAGGGTTTAGTGTTTAGGGTTTGGGGCTCCAGCTACTAGCCTTGGAGATTAGGGGGTGGAAGCCCCGCCCCATCCTCGACCGGGTCCTGGGATTCGTGTGTCTTGGGGCGCATTCCACCTCTCTCACCCTAAACCCTAAACCCTAAACCCCTCACCCTAAACCCGAAACCCTAAACCCTAAACCCTAAACCCTGAACCCTAAACCCTAAACCCAAACCTAAACCCTAAACCCTAAAAAGGGGCGAAAGGACTCCCTGGCAAGACAACCTCAGCTCTTGCCACAAGAGCACGTGCTCTGCAGGGTGGCGAGGATCTCTTTCAGGGTGTGCTCGCTGCTCAGGCCGACCAGGCTGACCTCACAAAGCACATCCGAGTTGTCCAGTAGCTAGGGGAACTCAAGGCTAACCTTTGGGAATTATAAGGGGATTACATTACCCTAAAACGGTTAAAGGTTACCTACTCTACTACTGAGATATCGGAGAAGAGCACGTAATGTCTTCCGGCTTTATTGTCTGCTTCTAGAAGCTGCACAATTTAAACCTACTAGACATTTGAACCGAAATCCTGCTTCATGGCATTCTTCGAAACTGCATCCTCTAAGAATCATATGTACTACTGCCCAACCCTAAACCCTAAACCCTAAACCCTAAACCCTAAACCCTAAGCCCTTAAGGTCACAAGAACTCAAAATCACATGCGCCTGGCCTGAAACTTCTTCTCCATGTCCGCCTCCGTGAAGCCGTGAAAGCCTGAGCTGGGGGGTGTGTGGGGGTTTAGGGTTTAGGGTTTGGGGTTTGGGGTTTAGGGTTTAGGGTTTAGGGCTTAGGGTTTAGGGGGAATCGGCAAACGGGTGTACGGGTTTAGTCATCTGTCATCGTGAGGTCCCGGTGCAGACATGATAAGACCTTGGACCACCACCTCAACCCGGTAATTACTGGGTTTAGGGTTTAGGGTTTAGGGTTTAGGGTTTAGGGACCTCACGCGGCCGGCGACAAGCGAAGGCAAGGTACAACTATACCTAAACGCACTTCACAACCAAGAACCTTGCCACTACTCAAGTCGATGTCCTGCAAGCGTCTGCGCTCTCTTCTAGGGTTTAATCGGGTTTAGGCGTGTAGGAGTGTAGGGCTTATCAGTCACCTAATTGGTGTTTAAAGCGGCGCTTGATTGTGTGGAACTGCGAGGTCGGGTTCAGAGCTGGCTTTCGGTTTAGGGTTTAGGGTTTAGGGTTTAGGGTTTAGGGTTTCGGGTTACGTGTCGCGCATGTTTGCTTCTCCTTTTTCTCCGGGGCTTCTCTTTGGAGCCGCGATCCGCACCTTTTCCTTGTGGGTGCCGTGGCTCAGCCGGTGGCAGGTTCCTGAGGAAACGGATCCAAGCAGTACGTGCTGACGTTAAACTGCCCCCCGAACCTAAATGCAACCCTAAAAAAGCCCGAAATAAGCTTAGGGTTTGGGTTTAGGGTTTAGGGTTAAGAGTTAGGGTTTTGGGTGTAGGGTTCAGGGTTCATGAAGAACGGATGAGGATCAGGTTTTGGGAGAGGCCAAGACATCCCAAAACCCTGCAAAATCCTACGCCCAACAGAGAATTGCAGGTTGCCCCGAATTATGGGGCCTCTGGTCATCTCAAGGATGGAAACTTCCTTCTAGGCTTACATATTCTTTTTAAACCCCAGATTGAGGGTGTCTTTGATCAACTCTCCAACTCAGGGACGGCCACTTTGTAGAGCATCTGTACAGGTGAACTTCGACGACCTCCACGCGCAAGACACTCTGATGAAGAGGTGCCCAGCACTTCCGTGCCCCGAAACCAGGTTTAGGGTTTAAGGTTTAGTGATGCTGAACCCTAAACCCTAAACCCTAAACCCTAAACCCTAAACCCTAAACCCTAAACCCTAAACCCTAAACCCTAACCCCAGGGTCCCTTGCTGTGCACTCACGCCAGTGACCAACAACCACTGCATCTTCGGTTTCTGGAGCTTGTAAAGGTTTATTTCGGGCTCGTGTTGCGCCACGGCCCCCCTAGTAGTCAGCACAAGAGCCTTGCAAGCTCGAAAACACAAACCTGCCTTGAGTCGCTTCTATACGCGCCAGACCTAACTCCTAAGAAGGTAGTGGAATGGTAGCACTAACCTTAAGCTCGGAAGCCCTAAATCTGACCAGTAATAGGCCGAACTTCTAAGAAGACTTTGCATTCTTAAGAACCCTAAACCGGACCCTAAACCCTAGACCCTTTTTCCAAGAGACTTCGCCCGCCTCGATAATATCCCTAAACCCTAAACCCTAAACCCTAAACCCTAAACCCTAAACCTGACCAGTCAGACTGTAGGACCTTAGGGTCCAGGGCGACGGAGAGCGCATGAAGCATGGAAGCCACCAGTTCAAAGGCACCCTTTGGCCGGGTTCGCCTGGGTACGTCTCCCTCACCCTAAACCCTAAACCCTAAACCCTAAACCCTAAACTCAAAACCCTAAACTCTAAACCTTAAACCCTTTTTTGCATCATGGCTGCCCTAAACCCTAAACCTAGGAGCGCTGTTTCACGGGTTCAGGGTGCTGGCAGATGCAGAGCGTTTGCACGCTTTCAATTTCGTGACGTGGTCTCAATGTCTGACTACAAAGCTAGCCCCAAGAGGAACGTAGGAATAAAAAGGGTGATCTTTTTGGTTTGAGGGAGCTTACAAAGGCAACTGCAACCCTAAAAAGGAATGAGGGTCGACTCTGGGTCCGAGAAACTGACCCTAAACCCTAAACCCTAAACCCTAAACCCTAAACCCTAAATACAGTAGGGGGCGCCAGAAAAGACAACATGCCAGATAGGGCTATCACTGCAAGGTATAGGCAGACCCAACAAAGTTCAAGATCAACAGAAGATGCTCCAACAGGAGCCAGCAGTTTAGGGTTTAGGATATATAGGGTTTAGGGTTTAGGAACCAGCTGACCCCTGACTTGTGAGACGTACCCAGGTGACCTTTAAACTTTAAACGTGAGCACTCTTGGGGGAAGTCTTTCAAAAGCCCAGGCTCAGCAGCACGGACGACCTCCGTGTGAACCCGCGATCTGAACCAAGGACTTGGAGATCTGCTTCTCCAACTTAAACTACTATTTGCTTGAGAACCCCTAAAGAAGACAAAACATAATCTCTCTATTACCCTTAACAAGGGAGAATATTTCTATTTTTTGGGGGTTCTCAAGGAATCTGGTGGTAATAAGGGTTAAAGAACCCAACAATTCAAGCACGTCTGTCCTTTAATAGAGCATATGACAGGGTTTAGGACTCGGGTCTGGGGCAGCATGTTCAGTGCCGCGGGTTTTCCTCTGCTCAGGGGAAGACATGCCCAGCACACAAAGCCCGAGCGAGCATCTGGAGCCAAACTCGAGCAGTGCTAGGACAAACTCTGGGGGTTTAGGGTTTAGGGTTTAGGGTTTAGGGTTAGGGTTTGGGGTCTAGTCACGCGACATGCTGCACTGATCCAGTTCACGCACAGGCTCTTGCAAGCTGATGGCTAGGCTTCCACCTTTGCACGAGACACAGACTCTTCAAAAAGGCCCTGCGAGTACTTCAGAAGATCGAGCTCCACCCTGAGGACGTGATCCACGGCCACGAAGACATCCTCAAGATGCGTCTGGGGTTTAGGGTGTACTAGGATGGCCCTTGAAACCCTCTGAAAGATATTCCTGCGTATGATCCTCTTAAACCCACTAAGGGGAAATATGCAATGTTGCAAGAGCCTACCTAGTTTAGGGACTAGGGTTTGGGGGTTTAGGGTTTTGAAGGTGGAAGGGTCAGGGAAGCTGCAACCCTCGCAGCCCTTCAGGGGCCCATGTACCTACATAGGAAATACTTGGGCCTTAAGTAAAGAAAACCTCCTACGTGGAGGCCAGGTGAAGGCCCAAGTATATACAGGTACATAAGAAAATGGTACATGGACCCTAAACCCTAAACCCGAATCCCGAAACCCTAAACCTACATATAGGGCAAGAAGCCGGGTGTTCCGCGCGTAGGGTGGCCGGTAAGGCCGCGAGTTCATCGCAGGCAGAGGTCAGAGATGACTCGGCCTGACGCTCCCAACCCGAAACCCTTTTGGAGTTTAGGGTTTGGGGTTTAGGTTTAGGGTTTAGGGTTTAGGGTTTAGGGTTTAGGGTTTAGGGTTTAGGGTTTAGTTAGGGTTTAGGGGAAACTGGCGACATGGCTTGTGGCTCCATGGCAACATGCTAAAGCTGTGTCCGACGCCCGATGATGCGGGATGCGCCCACCCCGACCACACGGCAGAAGCGGAGGCCAGGTAGGGACCCTGTAAACCCTATATAAAACCTATTTAAATCCTAAATAAGCCCTATAAAAGTTATATAAACCTGTATATATATATATATATATATTTTTTTTTTACTAAATAAACCCTATTATAAAAGTTATATAAACCTGTATATATATGTAAACCCTATACAGCCTACAAGCCCTATAAACCCTCTAAACACTACAAAGCCCAAAACGCCAATAAACCCTACAAGCCCTATCGGCTCGCTTAGAAGGGCTTGGGGTCGTCAATCTGTGGGTATAGGGTTTAGGGCTTAGGGCTTAGGGTTTAGGGTTTAGGGTTTAGGAACTTTCGGACGCAGGGGCTTGGATCGAGTTGTGGCACGACTGTTGGAAGGGTTCAGGGAACATTAACACACCGGGCTCATGGCTAAGGCTTATAATAAGAAAAATAATATGTTCAAAATCTTGTTGGGTTTTATAAAAACAAAAATACAAAATAATTCCCAAGGGGGAGATAGAAGGCATTCGAGCTCTGAACCGCACAGCGGCTCTCTCTCTCTCTCGCTCTCTCGCTGCGTTTAGGGTTTAGGGTTTAGGGTTTAGGGTATAAAAACCCCAAAGCCCTGGAAGCCCCTGAAACTGTAGACCCGTCTTTTTGCCAAACCCTAACCCGAAACACAAAAACAAACCAAAACCCAAACCCGAAACGCAACCCCCCCCCCCCCCCCCAATGCTCACCATATGGTCACTTCTAGAACATGGGGTCCCTCTTTAGGGTTGCGAATATAAGGCGGGCCCGTTATTACTTTGGGTAACCCAAAAAGAGACGCTAATCCAGCGAAATCGCTATGTCTTGGTATCCCAGTAGCCATATTACAACAAGGGCACCCTCTTTTGGGTTGGCTACTTGATAAGGGAACCTTGCACCAAAAGTTGGCTACTTGATAAGGGAACCTTGCACCAAAAACAGGGAAAATGGGTATCACTGGGCTACCAGGATCTGGTGCCCCAAGCCCTAAGCCCTAAAGCCCTAAAGCCCTAAAGCCCTAAAGCCCTAAAGCCCTAAAGCCCTAAAGCCCTAAAGCCCTAAACCCTAAACCCTAAACCTGCTGGCTTTGCTCTACGCGCCGGCCTCGGTGAGCCAGCGCCGGGCCAACTCCTCAGCTTGCTCCTGTTGTTTCGGTTTGGGGGTTCAAGGGTTCCAGGGGTTTAGGGGTCTATAGGGGTTTAGGGGTCTAGGGGGTTTGGGGGTTCGAGGGGTTTCGGGTCGGGGCTTCGCGCCTTCGGCTCTCACACGCGCGTAAGGCAGGCAAGGATGGATGTTCGAAGGAGTGTCCTCTGGAAACTCCCTAGGTTTCGGGGGTTTAGGGGTTTGGGCGTTTACGGCTGTAGTGTGCCCAGGGTGTAGAAGTTTAGGGCTTTAGGCCTCTACGGCCCTTATCGGTGTCGAAGACCTTAAGCTTCAGCAACCACATGCAACTTCATCCTAAACCCTAAACCCTAAACCCTAAACCCTAAATCCGTGGTGACCAAGAGAATTAATTGAGGCTCTCCCTGCAGGTCCAAAAACTATCCCGCACGCAACTCTATGGGTAGCCGAAGTGCCCAATGCGAAACCTGAACCCCAAACCCTAAACCCTAAACCCTAAACCCTAAACCCTAAACCCTAAACCCTAAACCCTGAACTAAACCCTAAACCCTAAACCCTAAACCCAATCCTTTCCAGAGAGGTCAGGTGTAGTTATAAGTCTTAGGCCCTCAAAGACTTGGATGGTAGGGTTTTATGTCTCCCAAGGAAAGAAGCAGAGCACCCTAATCCCTAAACCCTAAACCCTAAACCCTAAAGCCTAAACCCTAAACCCTAAACATCCCTAAACCCTATACCGGCTCAGTTCTTGCCCCACCTCCATGACAGGGTCGTCGAATCGGCCATCCCAGCAGGAAGCTCCACGCTGCCACACCTGGTTGAAAGGGTTTAGGGTTAGACTTAGACCTCGTAGTCAGCTTCGGGCATACCAAAGGAACAGAACATATTACCCAAATTCGCTCGTTTCATTTGGGGGGGTCTTCGTGGGAGTCTTGCAACTACAGGGCCGAGGTCTTCGATCGAATTGCAAAGACCCAGGTCTATGGTTTAGGCTTTAGGGCAGGGGGAACTGGATTTCGGCTCTCACGACCCGGGCATGCATGCGAGATCTTCATTCTCACAACGCGATGAAAAAGCAAAGTCTATGCTTCAGAGAAGCATCCGCGTCACTACAGCACGCGCGCAACATCACTCAGAGGGTGGAACACTTCTTGGTAGCCCAGGAACTATATCATGAGTAATTATGAGGGCACCCTTCTTTGGGTTGGTTACTTCGCAAGGGAACCTTCCTAAACCCTAAACCCTAAACCCTAAACCCTAAACCCTAAACCCTAAACCCTAAACCCTAAACCCTAAACCCTAAACCCTTGAACCAATAACAAGGGCAAAGGGTTCCATTGGGCTACCAAGACTTCGTCTCTCTGCCCTGCAAAGCTGGAACGGCTGCAGGTATCCCTAAGGATCCATGTACCCATATAGTATACACTTGGGCCTTAAAGGGGTTCCTTTATAGTAGCTGTAGGGCCCAAGCAGAGACTATATGTAGGTACATGGATCCTTAGGGTATTAGACCGGGAACTGGAGAAGGAAAATCGCTTGGAGCTAGCTTGATGGGCCCCCTTGCAGGTTTTGGAGTTTAGGGTTTATACCTTCTCTCGCGACACGAAACCAACACACCTTACTAACTAGCCCGGGATGACAGTGAACAAGATAAAGGCTGAGAAGTAACCGTGGAGAGATTACGAAAGGCCTGTACTATTTTATAATGAAAAGGCAAGGAGTGAGCGACGCACGCTTTTGATTAGTAAAATTCAGGCTTTTAATAACACGCCCAAATTGTAGGGTTTAGGGTTTAGGGTGTACACTTAACCCTGAACGCTGCGCCCCATCATGGAAACTGAAGAGCACGTGGCATTGCAATAGTTCTGCTTGCCCGCTGGACATGGAAGTGTCAAGAGACAGACTGCGGCGCACACTAACCATGACAAGGACAACAAAGCTGAAGATGAAAAGAAGGAACAGAAACAATAGCCATACTGCTCTTTCATAATTGCAGAAAACCATCTAGACCCAAGAGTAACCTAGCAACAAAAAGGGTGCCCGTTTGGTTAAAGGGGCTTATAAGGACCTAAACCCTAACAAAAAGGGGGAATAAGGGTCTACTCTGGGCCCTGGCTAGTGGTTTAATTGGGGTTTAGGGTTTATACGGTAAGACATATAAACAACAAGATCACGGCGACCCAAGAGCACTTGCTCCCCGCTCATTTCGGTCCCATACTACCTATAGGGTTTAGGGTTTAATTAGGGTCAGGGTTGTCGGTTTAGGGTTGTGGGTTTATCGGGTTTCGCGGGAGGGTTTTCCAACGAACAAGCGGGATGCTGTGAGAACAGCCGCCCTCGTGCCCAGGACGTCTGGGCCCACTTCTAAGGGCGGTGCAAATTACAAATGGGGGTGTACGAAAATGGTAGAACCCTCCCAAATAGTAGGATTCCCTTACAATAAGGGACCCCAATCAGGTACCCCTTCATATCGCAAACCCCACACATGGGCTGCCTAACGCAAGGCAATGGGAGTCTTTGATCGTTCACGGCGACATGCCGCAGTGCCTCTAAGAGCAGTTACATGGTCCCTTGGTATGGGCCCTGTAAAGGGTACCCCTTATATACTTGAAGGTTCATGATACTTGTTAACCAATGATAACTGTACTTATAACTGTACTTATAAGCCCCTTAAGTGGCCTAATAGAGTTATAATTTGGGTTATAAGTACAGTTATAATTGGTTACTAAGTACCATGAACCTCCAAGTACCCCTTCTATACAACTTAAGGGCCCATACATCAGAACCCTTCAAAGGAGGTCAGAGACCGTCTCAGGGCCTATGAACCCTCAGAGTTTTTCTTTCGCAAGCCAGACCTCAGGAGGGTTTAGGGTTTAGGGTTTAGGGTTTAGGGTTTAGGGTTTAGGGTTTAGGCAGAAGATGTTCCCATCGCGCAAGCCCAGACAGCTTGGCTCAGAGAGCCCTAAACAACCCTATAGAGCTCCAACACTTTGGTGGTGCTAAACCCTGCACCCTAATCCCTACACCCTAAACCCTAAGGGACAAAATCAAAGACTCAAACTGCCGCGCTGGCAGCCCAAATTGAGCTGGAACGACGGGGTGGTCCTTGAGTCTGAAGTGCTACGGCCTTAGGCCGTTTAGGGTTTAGGGTGTCTGGGGTTTATCGGGTTTGGGGAACAAGGCTTACCATGGGCAAGGTTTCAGCTATTCCGCAACACATCGGAGGTTTGACATTCCATGTGTGCCGCCGACTTTGTCAGGCCCAAGCCACCCTTCTTTCCGCACACTACTGGCGCCTTCACCCCATCTGAAAATGCCAGAAGGACTGGCCAACTTGAGGGGAGAAAGGCGTATTAGGAACTGTAGTTCAAAGCCTCCACGTCTTCAACCAGCATGTGCTGACATCTCGCTGACTTGCGTCTACGGTTTTCCGGTTGGCTAGATTCAAAAGGGTGTAGGAGTTTTGTTCACACTGGTCACTGGCTGCTGGATGACAAGTGGATGGAATAGCACAGCCGGGTTCTTTGGGGACAAAGTCCAAATGGCATTTCCAAAAACAGGGGTACCCCCTGACATACCCAAACATACTAGCACCTGTATAAAAAAGGACCCCCCTTCCCCCCCCCCCCCCCCCCCCCCCCCCACCAAAAAACAAATCCCAAAATAGGGGTACCCCTAACATACCCAAACATACCTTAATCGTTTATAGGAACCCCCAAAAAAGGTACCCCCAACTTTCGGAAACCCCCCAAAGCAACCTAAAAGTTGGAATCATACACCCTGCACGAATGCAACCCCTACAGGGTATGTGGACCACAGGATCCTATGAGCCCTAAACCCTAAACCCTAAACCCTAAACCCTAAACCCAGTCCCCAAGATACCCGGTTGGCGTCGTTGCACCCACCACGCCCACTCAGGGGGCTCCACACGCCTTGTTGGCGATGGGAAAGGGACCGGCCTTCCATTCTCCAGAAGGATCGGCTTCAACCACTCCGGCACAAAAGGATGCAAGATGGGGCTGTCGGTATACTTGGCCAGGAGTTCCTGCAAGTTTTTCATCTGTGTGTTTGCATGCACAGAGAGAGCCACAGCTGGCACAGCGCCGGCTGAGAGTGAAGACCCCTGCGGGCAAGACCCCAGCGAGCAAGGCAGCTGCATGTGGTGGAAGTGGCCGCGGAACGAGATGGCAGCTGCTACCGTGGTGAAGTTGATGAAGGCGTACCCCAAGCAACGGCCATCCCTGTGCCGAATGGGGAGGTACAAGAAGTCCACCTCCTCAAGGCACCGATGTGCTTCTAGGAGATCGCACAACATGCTTCGAGAAAAACTCTTGGGAATGTTGCGCAGCACCATCGAAGTCTGCCCGCACATCTCAGATGAAAAGGCTGGCCCTGTCCCGGAGCTCGCAGAACTAGGCATCGCAGGAATCTTGCAGTTGTCTCGCGGATAGGAAAAAGCCCTTCTCCTGGCTCCATCCGACGTGGTGATGTGCAAAAACGTATTCTTCACGACGAGGTGGCCCCCCCCCCCATCATGTGCCAGGGTTCGTCCATGGCGAAAGGCTTGCACTAGAGGCCCCTAACTGCGACCGCAAGGGGAGAGAAGCGGCGCTCCTGTCACTCCTAAAGTGTTGCAACATGTATCAAAACATAAACGAAGTACAGATATGCAAACTTAAAACGCGCATCCAACCTATATATGCATGTATTTATTTATTTATTTATTTTTATATATGTGTGTGTGTGCAGTTGTGGATCTCTTGCTGGCAAGACGGTCAGCATGATCCCCACAAAGAAAGCAAGAAACAACGTCTTGGGCCCTGAGCGCCATCCGGGGCACGGGCCCCAAAACTCTAAACGCTCGAGGGGTTCAGGTTTAGGGTTCAGAGTTTCGGGCACCTTGGACCCTTAAGCTCGATTCACCTAGGGTTTTTGTTTTATTTAAGTTGCTGAGCTTATTTAATTTATTTGGCTTATTTAAATTGCTTGAATTAGTTATACTATTCAAATTATGGGGTTTAGGATGCTTGAGGGTTTGAGATTTAGGATTTAGCGTTTAGGGTTGCCGGGGTCCCTCGGCTACCCATAACAAAGTGCCTCCCTACCAAGGTGAACCCTGAACAGGCTCCGCTCCAAACTGCAGCATCTGTCGATCACAAGCTTCTGAAGCCACGGGCCCCATCTTTCGGCGAACCCCTTTCGAAAGCAAGGCCGCACTCACGTGTAGGAACAAAAAAGGGTTTTCAGGGGACCATATGGGCACCCCAACCCTAAAAACCGTAAATCAGGGCCTACTCCGGGTCCTAGACCCTAAACCCTAAGCCCTAAACCCTAGTCGTCTAGTGATTGGAGAAGAATGGTGCCACAACGTCCCGAGAAAGGCACGGCATCTGCGGAGGGAAGCAGGGCGAGTCGCGCAAGAGGCATCAAAGAGCCACCTTGTCAGGGATGGGCTGCTAGGCCGTATGCTTCCCATAGTCAACCCTATAATTAAGGGCCCTTTTTAAGGGGCTGTAGGGTATAATGGCCCAGTCCTGGTGCTTTTCAGAAGTTGGAGCACTTGTTGTGGGGGTTGAATAGGATTTCTCAAGGCTTAGCTTTAGGACGTCCGCATCAGGTGTGGGGAGGTCTGGCTCCACCTAGCGTCGGCCATGCAGCGGTGACAGTGTCGGATTCATGGAGTCTTCGAAGCGTGGGCAGGACAGCACCCGAAAGACTCGAACCCTTAACCCTAAACCCTGAACCCTGAACCAGTCCACACACCGAGCCACCTTCCTCCGCGTTGTAGGGCATGCGGAGTAAAAGGGGCCTCTCGAAAGGGATGGCCTTGTGTTTGGGCATTAGGCTTCAGGGGGACACCTCAAACAAACAAGCGTGGCCTGCCCGAGATTAAGTTCCTAAGCGCCTGACATGCCTGAACCATCCACCCTATGGCAGCTGCTCGGGAACAATACCCCCGAGCACGAGCTCCCTAAACCCTAAACCCTAAACCCTAAACCCTAAACCCCTACACCCCTAAACCCCTAAACCCTAAACCCTAAAAACAAAACCCTTGGAGCTTTCGGTTGGTCTAGTTGCTTGCCCTATTCGTTGCATCTAGGGTTGAGCTCAAGCTTAGGGTTTGGCGCTGTAATTTATTCTCCATCTTATTGTAATGTTGTATTTTCTACTCTTAACAGCTATTATTCTACTAGTTCTTCATATAATATTCTCATTGCTATTATCTTATGATAACATAATGTTCTTATGTAACCTTTACACGCAGGCGAAGGACGTGAACAGTCAAGGTACACAAATCGCTAGGTAGGGTTCAGGATTGAACCTCCCGAACTACCTTCCCCTTGCACCCCAGGAAGGGGCCCTCTGCACCTCACAAAGGGTAGGGCTCAGGGTTCAGGGTTTAGGGTGAGCAGGGTTTAGGGTTTAGGGTTTAGGGTTTAGGGTTTAGGGTATAACTTATAGAGTAGCAGGTTGTAGGATTCATTGAGGCCCGTGGGGGTGAGGCTCATGGAGGGCGTTGGGCCTCCAAGCACTCCGCCTCCACCCGCTCTGCCGCACGAAGGCTACCCGGGCTGCTCCCGCCTTTTGCAGTTCGCGTGTGGGCTGTGAAAGGGCCTGTTCATAAGCATGATCCTTCTTATGGTTTTAGGACACCTGACCCCTCCAAAGCGCCACCTTTTGGCAACACCAAACCCTCTCTGTCTCTCACCCGTAAGCCCCAAACCCAAAAAACACTTACACCGACTCAAACGCCCTAAAAATCCTTGAAACACCACGCAACAACCCAACACCCGAGAGACAAAAAATTCCCTAAACCGAGGTTCAGGGCTCCGCCTCCTTTCCTCCTGGCAGCTCAGGGTCTGCAATGGGCACGTTCAGCAGACATCTTTCCTCCACAGGTTCTGGGTTTTGGGAACTTCGGGTTCGAATCGGGATAGGTTCAGGGTCTAAGGCTTCGACTCCCAGCTCACACTCGCCGCAAGGCAGCGCCAGGTCTTGCATCGTCCCGTTCTACCCTAAGGTTCAGGGTTCAGTATAGGGGCCTGAATAATTAGAGTACGGTTTGCGGGGGCGTTCTTATAGTCTAGCTATGTAGGGGAGTCTAAGGGAATACTAGTATCAATTCTTCCGACCCCTATAGTTCAACCACTCACAGCGCTGGAGGGTTCGTAGAACGTCCAGGATCCCCCACCATCCATAAAATCCCTTTTATCTTAATCGTGCTTCAAACTCCCTTTGCCCACATGTCTATCTAATGATGTATATACATATAAATATATGTCTATGGTCACGTCTGTCGTAAACGGGGGGGGGGGGGGAGTGAGCATATGGATTCTTTTTGACACAGAGGAGGGAGGGAGAGAGAGAGAGAGTCAGTTCTGACTAGCATACATCTCGCTTCCTAGCCTCGGAACAATGAGACTGCTCGGAATAGTGGTAACAATCATGTGAGTCGCAATTGCCAATCGCACAAAGGTGATGCAATAGTGCTAGCAGCCCAATATGCGGCACGGTCTTTAATTTAGCCCCCAAAGGATCTGAACTTAGGGAGTGGCTTGATCCGAAGCAGGCCCCTACCCTCTATTTTGCTCTTTGGCACTAGATAGGGCTCTCCTAGGATGCTCAGTAACCCAGGATTAAAAAGGGTACCCTTCTTTGCTTAAAGGGGTTTGTAAGGGAACCTAACCCCCCCAAAAAAGGGAATAAGGGCACTACTGGGCATCCTAGTCTCCAAGTAAGGGCAGTCGATGCTGTCGTGGGATAAAGTGCAGCTGTGACACATTTGGGTGTGGAATGGCTGGGGGAAACTGGACGAAGCCGTACCGCGCAAACAGCTGTGCGCTCGAACACCTGGAGGGGTCTTCTAATGGTGCCAGGGACCCTCGAGTTTTTAACGCATTTGAGGGGCTGAAGCCGGTGAGTTTGGGAGGGAGGGAAGGGTGGAGAAGTCACCACAAGGCCACAAGGCGTCGAGCACAAAAAGCCCCAAACCATCTTTGCATCTGAGCTCCCTCCCTGAGGCCCTGCCAGAAAGTAAACCCTACCAAGCCTTAAGGGCCGTGTGGCCCTGCAACTCATTCTTTATGTGAAGTCGGGCATTAGGCAACGTTGATCCCCCCTATGTCACCCCCTGACCCAGACTCTGCACACTCTTCAACTTCGGCCAGGGTTTGAAGGTTTTTCGGCAGAGCTTAAAACTTCAAGAAAGGGCGCTCTTCGTAGATGAAGAGCAGCTCGTCGCCGGCCTTGCAGCCAGGCACAGAGTATCATCCGATTGACTTCAGGGGTGTGCAGCAATTGGTGAGGGCGTAAGTCCTTCTTGTGCCACCCGACAGGTTTACGTTTCGAGGCCACATTGCGGCCTGGAGCGTGCGCTCGGCCGCGACCTCCACACGGCCAGAGGTGACATTGTCCACAATCTGGCATCGCGGAGGTGCGCCCTCGCTTGGCTCCTGTCGCAGCCAGCCGAGGCAGCTGCAACGCACTCATCCAAAAGGCTGGCCCTAGAACATTCGGAGGCGCGGAGACAAGGATTCCCACTCCGAAATGGTGCGTATTTTATGGTATTTTCAAAGGAACAGCAGGCTCCTGACCCGGATCCTGCTACCCCCAAGTTCGAAAGACTGAAACATGACCTGGCACCTGGTGGTTGAGGAAGTCGATGACAGGGCAAAGGCCAAGGCGCCAAGGGGGCGTTTCCTCGGAGCTGTAATACCCTTTGAATCCTTCCCTCATTCCCTACCCTAAACCCTAAACCCTAAACCCTAAACCCTAAACCCTAAACCCTAAACCCTATTTTTCAACTGGGCTTTTCGGAGTGAGCCAGATCTGCAAGCCTCAAGTCCTCTTGACGGAGGTCTTCCCAGCAAAAGCTGGCACGATTGGCCAGCAACCGCGCGAGCGTAAGCGTGATGGCCGTGAACTCAACTGTTCAATGAAGCCAGAATCAAACAAGCAAGATACCCAGATCTTCCAAAAGCCCTTACTTAAGGAATATACCCTAATTTATACGAAGGACTATTATTACGAATTAAGATATATTCCTTAAATAAGGGGTTTTGGAAGATCTGGGTACATTGAACTAAAAACCGGGCCCCCACTACTCTCCGAGAACGTTCCTGCCTCCGGTGTTGTTTCTGAGCCTGTCTCGGAAAAGAACATGTTGTTCCCTCATCTCCGGAATACCAACAGTATAGCTCAAACAAGTTGAAGTGCAATCCCCTGATAATACCCTCTTCTACCCCCCTTATAACCCTTTTTTGCCCTAAACTTCTCAAGCCCTAGAACGATGCCCCCGCCACCCCTGCCCTCTCACATCCAAGCATCTGGACCCTCGTCGCTGAGCGTGATCGCTCGAGACTCCACCAACGCAAGCGCCCAGAGTGCCTAAGCGGCACCCAAAACTGTAAACTCCAATTGAATCCCAAACCCTATCTACCCTAAACCCTAGAGCGCATTGGATGGCCAAGCCGCGGGTAAGTCCTTTACAGGGGTGTCCAAAAACAGAGTCTTGTTTAGGTAGGTCCGAGTACATGGATACAGGCATTTTCTAGTTCATGGTTGGAAAAATGTTAAAAATTCACATGTACATTCCTTGTTGGGTCCAAGTGCCCTTAAAAATGTAAAATGGCACCCAACTATGACAAAGTTTTGGGGTGTCAAAGTGAGGCCTCCTCACGCGACGCGGCAGCGCCTCGCTGGACGAGCTCTGCTGCTTCAAGGCTGGCGCGCAGCTGCATGTGGTCTGGGCGGTTGTGCAGAGATTTAGGGTTTAGGGTTTAGGGTCTCCCACATCCAAACAACCGGCAGGGTTTCGGATTTCTGCTCCAGAGGACCACTTCCTTGACGCAAAGATCTTTCAGGGGACGCCCTCAAGCCTGAAATTTTACCCTGAACCAAGTCGGGTTTAGGCTTTCGCAGTTCACAGGGCTTAGGCGGCTTAGGCTTCAAACCCTAAACCGATACCCTGAAACCCCCTAAACCCTAAACCCTAAACCCTGAACCCTAAACCCTAAACCCTAAACCTTAAACCCTAAACCCTGAACCCTGAACCCTGAACCCTAAACCCCAAACCCTAAACCCTAAACCCTAAACCCTAACCCTAAACCCTAAACCCTAAACCCAAGCCAGAACCCTGGGTGCCCAGGCAGACCATTCGGCAGGAGTGAGGGCACGAGGCCAAGATCTTGCGGAGAGAGAGCCCTGGCGGCCAAAAGATCCTCGGCTTAGGGTTTAGGGTTTAGGGTTCTGTGGGATTGGGTTGCACAGGGGTGGAGTGGTGGGTTGGGGGGGGGGGGGGGGTATGGGGATGGGGAGGAGTTGTAAGATCCAAGCGCTCCGAGCTGCTACAGCCCTAAACCCTAAACCCTCAACCCTAAACCCTAAACCCCCCTCCACCTCATGTTAACATAGCACCTTTCTCGGTAAAGGACTAGACTAGGAAGCAACTTACTTCGGGCTCATGACAATAGGGTGCTCAATGGAAGGGGCCCTTCCCTTGTTCATTGATGATTATATTATTACTGTTATTATCTATTTGCTTTTTGTTTTTTTTTGGCGGGGTGGGGGGGGGGGGGAGGGAGGGGGGCTGGGGGTTGGGCTGGTTGTTTTGAGAGGATCCGCCATTCTAGGCATTTCGAATCAAACCCTCAGCCCAAACACCTAAACTCCACACCTTAAACCTTGCAACCTAAACCAAGGTCCATAAGCAGTTGGGGGTTGTAAGTTGTAAGATTGAGCCTTCGAGCTGCAAACCCAAACATGAACAACAATAAGTAAGTCCTAGAAGCCCCAGCAGGCCTAAACCCGGTAAGCCCTCTCAAACCCTTAAAAAACCTACAGAGCTATAAAGCTATGGAGCCTGTAAGTCCTACATGCCCTCTCAGACCCACCAACCCCGTAAAGCCTCCTGCCTATCTCTCCCTCTCTCTCTCTCTCTTTCTCTCTCTCTCTCTCTCGCTCTATCTCCTTCTCCCGCTCTCTCACCAGCGGACTCGGTTTCGCCTCGATGCAAGGCAAAGATAGCTCCCACAGTCAAAGCTTGCTCATGAGAGGCTGCTGGAAGGCAGAGGCTAGAGGCCCTAAACGATCCAAGCCCCAGAAGCCCACAAGAAGAGCCTACCTAAACCCCAATAAGCCCTGCTTACAATCCTGTCCTTGGATGGCCCGGAAAACCCTCTCCAAATGATTGCTGAATACGATCCGCTTAAACCCAAATAACGGAAAACAAAAAGCATGTCCCAATGGCCTACGTCAAGACCTATAAACCCTACTTAAACCCAACCTAAACCCGACTTAAACCCCATGCACCTACTTGAACCCCTTAAACCCTACTTAAACCCTACCTCAACCCTATAAACCCTCCCTAAACCCTGCAAGCCCTGCTTAAACCCCATACACCCTACGTAAACCCTGTGAACCCTATTTAAACCCTAAACCCTAACAAACCCTATAAACCCTACCTGAACCCTAAACCCTAACAAACCCTACTTTAAACCCTCTACGCCCTACCTAAGCCCTATACACCCTACTTAAACCCAATACACCCTACTCAAACCCTAAACCCTAACAAACCCTATAAATAAACCCTACTTAAACCCTAAACCCTATCAACCCTACTTAAACCCTACTTAAACCCTAGCAAACCCTACTTAAACCCTAAACCCTAACAAAACCCCATAAAACCCTGCTTAAACCCTATAAACCCTATACACCCTACTTCAACCCCTAAACCCTAAACCCTAAACCCTAAACCCTAAACCCTAAACCCAAGCGGCGGGTGGGCGGCCAAGTCCTTCGCCGACGGCAGCGTCGCCAGGAGCGGCGCGAAGGCGGAGGTGGCCCCCCGCTTCCTTTCCTGTTTGGGGTTTGGGGTTTGGGGTTTGGGGTTTGGGGTTTGGGGTTTAGGGTCTGGGGTTTATCTTAAACTTAGGGCTTCGATCAAGGGCTTAGGTTCAGAGCTCTCTGCTGAGTACATTAGGTCGAGGTTCAGGGTTTAGGCTTTCGGTATGGCTAGGCTTTAGAGTTCAGGGTCTATGGCAAGAGGGGAGGGGCCAGAAAACCAGAAACGGGGAAGTACCGGATGAAGAGACAAGCTTACCATAACTTCTCGGTTGACATTCTAGGGGCATGTGACGTATATAGCTAACTCTCTCAATGGAACCGTGCACGCCTGTCGTTCGGCAATTTGGGCAACAAACTGTCATCGACCGATCGGGGGTGTGCGGGCCCATGTGGGAGCGCGACAGGAACGAAGAAGCAGCAAAAACAGAGACCCTAAACCCGAAACCCGAGACCCTAAACCCTAAATAAACCCCAACCCTAAACCCTTTGCAAACCCGACTGCTCAAGCATGCAGGGTATGTTGCTCAACAACACCACGTCCCTGCAAGGCAGCCAAGGCAAGCTCGGAACGGCTTACATTCACAGTGGCCACAGTTCTGGGGAGCTAGGAATCTAAGCTAGGCCATGTCTCCGAAACAGACTTGCATCTTGGGGTGCAACCTTTTCTTGTCCCAAGCAATCCTGGTGGATGTTGGGTGCAAGCCGCTGTCTTTGAGAAAGCCAAGGCTCCACCAGCAACGCAGCCGCCAAAGCCATTCTGTCCTGGCATGTAGGGTTTTTTTAACGTTAAAAAAACCCTAAATAAATAATCTAAATAGGGTTGCTTTAACGTTAAAAAAGCCCTGAATCTGCCATGGCATGGTGGGTCCGGTCGTGACTCGGCTGTGGCACACAGCCTGCCAAACGCTCGACAGCAACCTCCAACTCTGTAGGCCCCACTGGCGTGTGCCTATTAGCCTAAACCCTAAACCCTAAACCCTAAAGCCCCGCAACTGTAAAGCCAACATCCCTGCGGCCCATGAAGTGACCGAAAAGTCCTCAGCGACTATGCAGCACGCCTCAGTCGGGACAAGCGGGCTCGCTGGTGGAGTTTTAGGCTTAGGGCGTTGCTTGTGGAGTTTTTATTCCAGTGGCTCACGGGGTTTTGCACTCCCGCATAGCTGGACGAACTGCCCCGCAGGTCTGTTTCAAGCACGTCTAGGGCTCACAGGGTTTAAGGTTCAGGGTTCAGGGGCTTTTTCAGCGATTAAGGACTGCTTAAGGTTTGAGGATCTCAGCCGCCGACTTTTTCAAGGAACCACCATCTCTGCACTAAGCATGAAGCTTGACATTACGAGCAAACATGTTCCGTCATAAGCAAAGAAGTGAACACGTAAGGGTCCATGTCCCTGTGGAGTAGATACTTGGGCCCTAAAACTACTGTATGGTAACCCCTGTAAGGCCAAACCCTAAACCCTAAACCCTAAACCCTAAACTCTAAACCCTAAACCCTAAACCCTACGATAGGTACATGGACCCTTCGGGGGGGTAGCAGGGGAAGGATGCCGCCAATCGTCTCTGGGGATGGAGACGAGCTTGGCGCCACGTTCTGCAGCTGCAGCCGTGAACACCTCGGAAGAAAGGGCTTCATATCGGGGCCTAAATTTAGGGGGGGGGGGGGTTATTATAGGATATCTCTACATAGGGACCTTATACAGGGGCCTAAATAATGAGAACAGGGTTTTTGGGGGTTATCATCATATACTTTATAGGGACCATAAGGGGGTAATACTAGTAGTAATTCTTCCGGCGCCTACATCAGACATCAGAGGGTTTCGGGGTATGCACAGTTGCGTCTTCAACAGCCAGGACTAGTTCACCTTTCCTACACCCCGCCCCCCCCCCCCCCCCCCCCCCCCCCCCCCCCAAGAAAAACAAAATAGAAAGAGGGCGCAAGCTTCAACGATCGGCTAGGTGTGGACACTGCCCCCACACCGCTGCAACTCGAGCAGCCTAGCAGAAAGCCAGTTCTTTACGTCACCTACATTCTGGCCTTACTAAGGCGCCGGACTGCAATGGCTCCCTCGGCTGGAATAGATTATATACACATGCATATGACACACATGTATATATATATATATACATATATATATATATATAACATGTAAATAAATAAATATATATATATATATATATGTATGCATGCATGCATACATACATATGAAGCCCTCTAGAAGTGCCCGCCGAGAGTCGCCACGACCGGCCCCCTCAATGTGGCTTCCCCCCAGCGAGACGTTTTCCAGGCCGAGTGCGCCATTGTCCTCAGCGGGCTGCGGCAACTAGTTCTGTTTGGTGGGTTAAGGGCTTTGTTGCCGCCCGCCAAGCTGAACTGAACGTCCACATTGCAGGGGTTTAGGGTTTAGGGTTCATGGGTTTGGTGGGTGTAGTTTTGCTGGAGCGCCAAGGCTTGACATAGATTTCCATGCTGGCGATGTCCGTGAAAACAAGCGGCATTGCAAGCATTGTAAGCCCGATGCACTCTAAACCCGTGTGCAACACCCTAAACCCTAAACCCTAAACCCTAAACCCTAAACCCTAAACCCTAAACCCTAAACCTGTCGTTCCAACTCTCCAAGCTCAGCCCACCAGGCCATCTGTTGAGGTTCGGTTGGAGGGAGATACTGCTCATGAAACACCGTTTGCCAGCAAGGCAGGGCAATGCCCATGAGCCGTGGAATGCACGCCGGAGATGCCTTCAACCACTGCACCATCTCGTCAAAGACCTTGTGGCTAGACTCCTCACAAATTTGCAGGCTTGGTTTTTAGGTTCAGGATTTTAGGTGGCTGACAAGGGCTTGCTGAAAGCAGCTCAAGGTACGGAGTGCCCATTAATCAGCCACAGAATCTAAACCCTAAACCCTAAAACCTAAACCCTAAGCCCTAAGCCCTAAGCCGTAAGCCGTAAGCCGTAAACCCTAAACCCTAAACGACTCCTCCCCGCCCCGCGCCGCACGAGCCGCCCTCGCTCGGCGCTGCCCGGCGGCGGCGAAAGCCGTGGCGGAGGCCGCCGGGGCACAGAGCTGCAGGGTTTAGGGTTTAGGGTTTATAGGTTTAGGGTCTCTGCTTTTTGAAGAAAACAGTTCTTCTCTGTCCGAGAACTAAACTGTACGTTCTCGAGCATTTTTGTCGGGATTATTGCAGAATGAGACATGGGCTCATGTTTGGTGACGGCGCTCTTTGCCGACCGTGACGGGCTCTTTCCCGGCGAAAACGCGCTTTTGCCGACCAGCGACTCCCCTGGACGGAAACCCTAAACCCTAAACCCTAAACCCTAAACCCTAAACCCTAAACCCCAATGCTGGGAGCCTGGGCCGGATGGAGACGGCTGCCCTGCGGTGGGCGGGGCGGGGCTGAGGTCCGCAGAGGCGGCCGGAGGGCTGTAGGCCGCTGCGCCTGCCGGTGAGGGTTTCGGCTGGGTTAGCTGCTTAGGGGTTTAGGGTTTAGGGTTTAGGGTTTAGGGTTTAGGGTTTAGGGATTATCCCCTCTGAAAAATATTCTTGTAGATATGGTTCTCTTTAACCCAATCAGGGAACATGTAAAATATCCCAAGGCCCCCTACCTAGTTTCTCGGATTGGGGTAGAGTCTTGGGGGCTTTCCCTGAAGTTGCGGGCTCGTCTCATCTGTCCTGTGCCTGAAGACAACCGAGCCAGCTACGGAGCCGCGCTCCGAGGATCGCCAGTGCAAGGAAGGGTGCGGATGTCCGTAAGCTCTATACGGGTCTAGGGCTGTTTTCATGAGTCCAGTTCATGCACTTTCTGTCTCGACTTCTATGAAGTTCGTGACTCATGACCGGAACCCTGGAACCCAAACGAAGCACTAGAGCCCTCAAAGCCCTCAACCGGCAAACCTCTCAAAGCCGAAACTTTGTGGCGTGAGCTGCACGGCCTGAGCCGCGATCTGCATGGCGCTGGTGGCGATGGCAGTGCGCGACCCAGGGCAAATACAGGAACTTTGAAACTAAAAGTTGAGGTGGTTGACTGTAAGGGGCTTTTGGTGGTACTTCCCTTCCTGCTCCTATAAGGTTGCTACTTCGGGTTTCGAGCAGCTAAGCCGCTCTAAGCTCGCTGCTTGTGCTCAGTGGGTCTGAGGGTCGGTGGCCAGGTGAGGGGCTGGTCCGATGAGCCAAGCTGACGTGCACTCTCATGGGGTCACGCGCTCTTCTCACCTTGAACTTATTTTTGGGGTAGTATAAACCCTAAACCCTAAACCCTAAATCCTAAACCCTAAACGTATACTAGAATCCACAATACAGTAACTCCATCAGCAATGGCCGACCCGTAGGGGCTCCCTCATTGCCCAGACTGGGACAGCTAATGAGCACCCCCTCGGGTCTAGGGTTTATTTCTCTCCCGCCTAGCTGACTGAAAGCCACTCCGCAAGGGTTTAGGGTTTAGGGTTTAGGGTTTAGGGTTTAGGGCAAGCACAAACGATGTTAGGAATCCGAGTAGCTTGGCTCCAGCTCCGGTGCTGTCTCTGAGAGGCCCTGCCGGCAGCAGGGGGATGCTGGCTAACCCTAAACCCTAAACCCTAAACCCTACACCCTAAACCCTAAACCCTAAACTCTAAGCCCTAAACTAAACCCAATACCCTAAACCCTAAACCCTAAACCCCAAACCCTAAACCCCCTCGTGAAGGCGCAAGCTGTAGCCACCGGAGACTGAGCCAACCATGTAAAAGCTCTCTTGAAGACAGAACTTCCGGGAGGTCTGCTGGCACATTTTCACGCGCTTTTCACCCCGTACTTCTTGCAAAGCTCGTCTTCGAATTGCTGGCACTTCTCCACGAAATCCCGAACCGTCATGTCGGGATCGCTGGGATCCCCGAAAGCACCTCGGCTGCAAGGCGGTGCACACACTGCGCTCCCAGCTCTGGGTTTAGGGTTTAGGGTTTAGGGGTTAGGGTTTAGGGTTTAGGGGGGACGTGCCAAGGGCTTGGTACATGGAAACCTCTCTCTGGGGAGCCTGTGACGCGCGAACCCTAAGCTCTAAACCCTCATGGAGGGCGCTTGAAGCCGATATGGCAGCAAAGGCTTGGGGCACGAGGAAGATCCAGGAAGCCTGCCAGAATTTAGGCGGCACACGCTGTAGCTCGGACACCTGCCGCCGTCTCTTCAGCCGGATGAGGGCCTGGCGTATGTTGCTTCAAGCTGTATACCCGATACTCCTTAAGACCGCAACAACAGCTGTTTTTCATTATTCCCTTTAGCTTTATGCAGCCCCCAAAAAAATCTACGAGGACTACAGTAACTGGACTTCGCAGCCCTGTAGCACGGCAGCCCCCTTTCTAAACAGCTGAAGCAGACGGTGCCAGAGATGGGTTGCTGTGTAGGGGCGAAAATCACCTCCTGCACCAGTTTAACTAGGGTTTAGGAAACCCTTTTTTTTCCTAAACCCGAAACCCGAAACCCTAAACCCTAAACCCTCAGACTTCGTACCCAGGAGGTTCGGGTGCTAGGACATCTCGGGTAGCTCCCTTCTGCATTCACAGGCCTCCGAGCTGTCCTCCAGAAGCACATCGAGCACCTGAAGGCGCCACGCGACTGCGACAGAGCGGACTGAGCTGGCATATAATCAGCCATAATTCTATGGGAGGAGCCCGTTTTCCCTAAACCCTAAACCCTAAACCCTAAACCCTAAACCCTAAACCCTTTTGAGCAACGGACTGTGAAGCTGCCGGCACGCAGCACAGCCTAAACCCTAAACCCTGGAAGGTAGTGCCCCAGCTCCTAGGAAAACAAACAGAACCTTTCCTTGCTTCTCTCACTATTACAAGAGGGAACCTTCCCCCCCCCTAAAACAGAAACAAAACATTGTAGATAACTGAGGTCAAGAATCCCATATATGCCTTTAAGTCTGGTGTTCTTTGGGATGCAACAAGGAGGTCTCACCAGGCGAGGTCGGGACAAGGCTCCAAGAATTCGGAGCTTTGCACAGGCCCCGTTTGCTTAGAGGAACGAAAGGTTTTGGGGGTCGTGTGCAGGAATTCTAAGTACGAACCCACAAGCCCTTCACCCTAAGCCCCGTTCCTTCCGACGACTACGATAAGCCACCGTCGGTGGAAAGTGAGCGCAAAGGCACTGCGCTTTCCAGTTGCCCCATGAGCTGTGCCACCTCCTGCAGGTCTGATTGTTGGGGGGTTTTGCCGGAATTAAGGTGCCCAAAAACCTCAAACCCGTTTTCAACCTTGAACAGTGTCCTTTGTCGGGGGGTTGCTACAAAGCGGAATACACGTCTTTTCTCTTTGAGTGAGGATCCCATTTCCAGGTTCAGGATTCTAGGGGGGCCATCGGAGCTTGCTGGACTACCAAGTGGATCCGGGGAGTCTTCACAAACAAGGGTTGCTTTTTGCTCCCCCGTGGAGCCGCAAACTGCGGTGTTGAGGGCTTGGGGCCGTTTAGGGCTTGCCTGGAGCAACTGCCTAACGCACTTGGCAGAGCGATTTTTGGGTTTGCAGGGTGTCTTGAGCTGAGAACTTCCCTACCCTAGCCGTTTTTGTGGAAGGCTGGTATCGCTACCTGGCACTTTGGCCTCGTATAGCTTCCGGCCCAGCATGACACTCGCAAGATCTTGCAACTAGGATGGCCGCTAAAACCCTGTGAGAAATATTCCTCAATATGATCCCTGATGATCCTCACCTGAAACGCCGAACCTAAACCCTAAACCCTGAACCCTGAACCCTAAACCCTGAACCCTGACCCTAGCCCTAAACCCTAATTATCTGCCAAGTTGCCGCAGTGATTTGTGCCTTGGCTGCCTGCTCCGCGGGTGCCTTGGGGGCCCAGTCGGAGAGTGATGCAGCCTGCCCAATGATGAACGAAGGGCTCTTTTGGGGTGGGTTGGTTTAGGGTTTAGGGTTTAGGGTTTAGGGTTTGGGGTTTGGGGTTTAGGGTTTAGGGTTCAGGGTTCAGGGTTCAGGATTTAGGGTTCAGGGTTTAGGTTTAGGGTTTAGGGTTGGGCTTTTTTGCCAGCCGCCAGGGTTATAGGGCCTAGGGTTTGAGGGTGTTTACGTCTTTTATGTAGGGGTCCGGGGCAAGGGCTTTTTAGGGGTCTAGGGGGCGTGTGGGTTTCGCAGAGAGCCATCAGAGAACCCAGACCCGAACTCACAAAGCAAGCACAAGGGTAGGATGCAAACCCTTTTGCCAGAACTCAAGAGAAGCCCACGACTCAACCCTAAACCTTGTCCAGTAACCTGGGGGAATTAAAGGTTAGCCTTGGGGATTATAAGGGGATTCTATTACCCCAAAAAGGTTAAAGGTTACCTATACTACAAGGAAACCCATGACTCTGGGCGCAGAGTTTAGAGCCTAGGCGTAAGGGCTGTCCACTCGCAGGAACCTCCCGTGAGACAACCTCAAGTCGTCCCAACACGGGGGCACCTGCAGAGAGGATGCCTTGCACAATACACTTCCGAGCCCAACTTTACGATACTTCAATAGAACTTATAGGGTTTAGGGTTTAGGGTTTAGGGTTTAGGGCTAAGAAATCTACCGTAAACTATACATGGACCCTTCTTCTGGGGTCCCGAACTGAGGCGCCCCTACCTAAAACTACATGGGAACCCTTTTTCTCATAAATCATTCGCGAGGGTCCGACCTTATGAACTATATACAGATCCGTATCGCAGGGCTGTAGGGGATATTCGGGTTAGGGGTTCGGATGATCCGTAATCTGAATTCCTTAGCGAGAAGGAACGGATTTTAAACCATAAAGGGAAAACCTGGACCCTGTTAACAAAAACGAAAACCTAAACCCTACAGCCCTAATCTGGAGCAAGGTCTACTCCTGAAGCGCAGGGCAGGTGTGCCCCCCCCCCCCCCCCCCCGCGCACCTGAACAACCAAAACCGCATGTATCAAACCTCGGGCCTCGAACCCGACTGGAGGAACATACAGAAAAGGATTGAAAGCCTCCCACTAAGAAGGGATAGGGTCTACCCAATCCTTAAGACGTCCCCCTAAACCCTAGCCCTAAACCCTAAACCCTAAACCCTAAACAGCCCCGGCTTCTTCGAAGATCTTCCGCAAGGCAGACATGCCGGCTGCAGCCTCGGCTCTTGCTGTTATAAGGTTCGTAAGGGAAGGGGGTTCATGGGGGGTTAGGGTTTAGGGTTTAGGGTTTAGGGGTTTGGGTGCCTTGGGGAGTAGTGGGGAGCATGAGGGCACCTTGGGAAGTTGCTTGCCGCGCCCGCCCAGCTGGAGTATGCTGCACCGAAGGTCAGGTTTGGGGTGGCCTGAACTTGAGGGTTTGTTTGGTATAGGTTTCGGGTACCCAAAGAGTCCAATCTCCCTTAATTCGGGAATATTCCCCCTCTTGCGTGCTGCACCCTCCCACCTCTTGAACCGCGTTTCCTTGCATCAACCCCTGAACCTTATTTTGCCTTAAAGCTTCAACCTTCAAGCCTCTAGCTTCTTAACTTGAATACCCTAAGCTTGCCCTTGAAGCACTAAGCTTGAATGCTCCGAATCCCAGCCCCCGAGGCCGTTGCCGGGTCCGCAGGCGGCTCAATCTCGAGAAACCTCAGTCGAGTTTGTCGGCAGATCAGGATCTGAGGGCTTGCCCTGGGAAAATACAAAAATGTCCCAAGGGCTTACCTAGGGTTTAGGGTTTAGGGTCTGATGGTGCACCTGTGGTTGGACTCCCGTCAGTCTCTCGGCTTCTCAGAGCAGTCAGGAACATCCTTGGAGGTTTAGATTGGGATGTTCCCCCCTTCTACTAACAGTCCCTAATAGAGATTCTAGTGCCCCCTAGTACAAGGACTGTCAGCATTAGGGGGGAACATCCCAAGGTTTAGGGTTTGGGGCTTACGGGCCTTGATACCTAACCCCCAGAAGCCAGCTCGGGCGGTGCCTGTTCTCTGCCACGGGCATTGGCTCGTCCTCTTCGAACTCCTACGTCTTGGAGTCTTGCAACGCATGGCAATGTTGGTGGTTCGTGACTTTTTGCTTGCTGCTCTTTTTGTTGCAGAGTTCAAGCACAACACTTCAAAGGCCCAATGAGTTCAAATGAACATCACACATGGCTATGGCTGTTCTTCGGAATGTCGCTGACAAGCACAAACCCTCCGGCCTCTGCGCGAGGAGGGGATGGAGGTGACGGAGGTGGCAGCTGCCTCTACATCATATAAAAACAAAAAAAGAAAATGAAAAAATAAACATATACATTTATGAACACATGAATATAAAAATAAAAATATAAATATAAATACAAATATATATAAAGATAAATAAACAAATATATATGTATATATTCTGTTTATTTATTTATTATATTCATAACGGGCTTAGATCGACCACAAGCTGCTGACGCCACTGAAACCCATCGAGTAAACCTATGTGCGACCTTAGAACAAGGGACACGCGGCCTGATTTGTTGGCTTTTGTAGGCGTGCACAGGCTGCCCCGGAAACTTCTTGAAACCCTCGTGGCCGAAAACATCATGCTCCTATATGCCGGGCGTCGCGTGCATGTTAGGCAGTATGGTTTAGGGCCAGAGGCCAAGGCTGGTAAATCGCTCTCTTCTGGACGTTCGCTCGCTTGCTCGCTGATCCTCAAATCCTTGCTGAGGGTGCCAAGCTGGGGTCACATCCCAGATCTGCGCACACATGTGCTGGAAGCTGCTGCTTGCTACTTCGATGGTGATGTTCATTGCGCTTCCTTCTTTTCGATTGCTGATTGACTTTCGAACTGGACGTATGAAATAGAAATACCGAAGCCCTGGCCCTACAAGCCCTGTAAGACCTGTAAAATTCTGGGTCTCCCAGCTCCTGCAAATCTTACTATCCGCCATATCCCCATACCCTCAGGGTCCGTGTTCCTAAATCGGGAAAACTCGGGCTTTAAATTACCTCTATTTAGGGACTTTGGGGCCCAAGTATACAATAATAATCTGGTAGATGCACCCTCAGGGATACATCTGGGGAGAAGCAGCCGGCCGCTGAACCCTAAACCCTAAACCCTTTTGCATCCGGGCTTGGGAGTCTACCCTAAACCCTAAACCCTAAACCCCTTGCATCCGGAGCACGGCTCTGGCAGTTCGGGGCCTGGCGAGCGCACGCTTCAATCATGAACCCAAAGCGCCTTACCAACACAGCCTAGGCAGAGCCGACAGTCGGGGGTATATTTAGGGTAAAGCTGTGGGTTCTACATAAGGCCAAGAAGACCCAAGAAGAAACATGTAAAAAGCTCAGCTGGGGGTCTCCAGGTTCCCAAAAGAAGCAGAGAGACTTGTTTTTTTGTGCAATTCGGGGGCCTGGGAACACTCTAAACCCCTGACGATCAGCTGCAGGAGGCACGCGTCTAGCAGCACATGGTACTCACAATGAGACACAAGGAGGATTGCTCCTACATGGCATGGTTGTCACAGGTACCTCTCCATCGACTCAGCATGCGCGTCCTGGCGCATCGGGGCCGGAGCTCGCGATGCGATACAAGCGCCGTACCAACTGTCATTCGAACCCACTACTGTCAGCCCATCGACATATCCGAAAGCCCATGCTTCAAGCACAGTCCAAGCACCATTCGCGCAAAGATCAACGAGCCGGCCACAACAAAGTCACGCAGTTCACTGCAAGCTTCCAGCATGCTTCAACCCGGATCTCAGACATCTCAATCCACAGCCTCAGCATGTGCCCGAACTTGGGCTCTCAAGCGCAGCTCGCCGGATGTCATCATGCGAAACCACAAACCAACACAAGCTGACCTGGGTTCTGGCCTTATAGCCCGCAGTCCACCATGCGCATTGGGTACCCCTCAAGTCTTATGGTAAGTAGTATACGATGTTTAAAGACTACTACTAATGGAAGAAGAAATCACTACAGCACAGCTTGGGGTGTACAGACATCCCTCTTACTCTAAACCCTGAACCAAAGACCCTAAAACCCTAGCCCCCCCCATATTTTGGGGTCATTGAGTTCCCCCTTAGGATGGCATCTGATTGTCCTGCAATATGGGTGCCCGCCCTCAACCGACCTTGGGATAGGTTTGCCCTTAAAAGGGTCCATATTCCTTCATGGGGCTTACAGTAGCAGAAGGGGAAGACAAGCCCAATTATAGGGCTCTCTGGTCCACAACAAGGTTCTGGCGGCCGTTCTGAACTCACCAATGGCCGACAGCCAGCAACTTGAACATGAAGCGAGTAGTATTCACGCAGGCACAACTTAGTAGACCAACAACCGCATTGTAATCAGGGTACCCTTTAACCGAGGAAAAGGGGTAAAGGGCACATCGTCACAGGAGCGCAGGCGTCTCAGACGTCACGATCCGTAGCTTCAGCATTTACCCAGGGCCGATGGCTCGGGTACTCAAGCGCAGCTCGCTTCGCTGATGTCATCATGCGACTCCGATGTGCAGGGGCCATGCTATCACCAAGCACCGAGCGCCAAACCGCTGCAGTGGTCTATCAAGAAAATGTAGCCTTGTGACGATAAAGGCTTCATTGGAGTAGAGGGCTTCATTGGAATGAGGAGTTGAGCGAGGCACACCACTCAAGGCGACAGAGTTTGATTGGCGATGCTCGTGCATCCAGGATCCTCAACCTGAAGCCCTCCTACTTACTGCTCTGGGTCCTAGCAGGCAGGTACAGGACAGGTTCTCAGCATGCGCGGGACTGATACCGCGCCGCCTTCTTGTGGCTCAAGGTATGGCTCGCCGGCCTTGCAAGACAAGATAGGAAAACCCTGAAAGGGTCGATGTACCTGAATAGGGAATACTTGGGCCTTAAAGAACCTCCAACACAGGGACTTTTGGGCCCAAGTATATTGCAATATGGTACATGGACCCTTCGCGAAAGCCTCCCAGTCGCCGGCCGAGCTCCCTGCATTGGCGAGCCCCCGGAGCCCGCATGCTAAGGACGAACGTCTCGAAGATTCGAGTGATCGCACGATACAAGTTGCAAGCCCCTGAAGTCTGAGGCAAGTTGTGCACATCCCACGAAGAAACCCCAAACCGGGGGACTCCCAAGAACCCCAGCCAATGCATACACCGCAGAGCCTTGTAAACATCATCACCCGCATCGGAAACACCGAGCCCCCCCCCCCCTTTTCTGTGGGGCAGTTCACGAAAATGACCCTTCTCTAGGTACCCCGACCAGGCTCCAGATTCTAAGAGGAAGCCCAGCAGGGACCAGAATTTGGCCAAAACCCTCATGCGCTATGGAACTTAACCTTCAAAGCCAGAATGCTTCAAGTCACCACCCTGGCAACCCATGCCTGATTCCTCAAGCACTGGTGTCTTCAAGAACGCTTTTGTGCATCCGGGCCTATGGAAGCCCTAAACCCTGAGCCGTAGTTCTACTTAAGTCTCAAATCGCCCACACACCTGCAGAGTGCACATGGCCTGGGTGCCCTGATCCCGGCAAGCACGGAGCGTGCGCCAGCGGGGAGGCGGCGTCTTGGTTTTTGTTGTTGGGAAAGGGCGGGGGTAGGGACCATCAACTACACTTGCTTAAGGACCCCCCCAAAAGAAATGAAGCATAAGAATCCGTATATTGTCCTTTATAGGGAGGAATATGTTCATTTCTGTTGGGTGGTTCTTAAGCAAACAAGTGGTCAATGTGGGAAACTGCCCATTTGGCCAAGGAGATGAAAAATTAACCCTAAACCCTAAACCCTAAACCCTAAACCCTAAACCCTAAACCCTAAAGGCCCCACCTCTGGGGCGCTTTCCAGGCCCTGCGGAGTGGCAGTCGCCGCACCCGGCGCCGGTGCCTGCAATTATTCTTCTTCTTCTTAGTATTCGTATTCTTCTTCTTGCTAGTATTCGTATTCTTATTGTATGATTATTTCCATTACTACAATTGCTATAATGATTATTATTCTGACTGTTATTATTACCATTATTCTTCTTCTTCTTATTATTATTGTTATGACTGTTATTGTTGCTATTACTAGTATGATGATGATGTGCAGTATTATTCATATTGTTAACGCTGTTTATTCGTTATGTTGACGTTTTGTCTGTTTTTTTTTTTTTTGGGGGGGGGGGGGGGGTCGAAAGCTCAGGGTTTGCAGGGTTTGGGGTTATATAGGTTTTATAGGGCTTTAGGGTTTATGGGGCTTACAGGGTTTGAGGGTTTGTAGGGTTTGAAGGGTTGACGTGTCTTGGGTTTGGCGGACTCGTAAGCCCTAGAACCCTGTAGAGCCTAAACCCTCTGTACCATCATTCCATCAACAGGTACCAAGCCCAGTAAGCCTTGCCACCCTCTGAAGGCTTTCGAGATTAGAGGCGCTAGAGGATCACATAGGACCCCAATGCCAGGATTCCCAGCGAAGAAGCAGGAAGATAGGGGCTCAGGGTTCCTCTACAAAGGCCGTTTGGGATCGTATGTTGCTATTGCAGGTTGTATTCTTTCTGGCTAGCAAGCTTCCCTACTCAAGCTTCGCTTTTGTTAGTGAATCCCGAGTTTCAGGCAACGGGCTTTTGGGCTGCGGACGAAGTTGTGATTCAGGTTTCAGGTAGGACAGTCGAAGTCGCCCAGGGCGGCACATGGACGCTAAGTCGCCCAACGCAGGGCTGAAGGGGTCGTGCAGCCGACTGGCATTTGACATCTTAAAGCCTCAAGCCCATGCTTGCATAACTCCAATGCTGTTGGCCTAGGGCTTGTCATCCTAGCCGTCTTCCAACACCCCACACAGGTCGCGGCACACAAAACTAGGACTTGGCTAAGGAACTCAAAAACAACATGTAAACAAACCCCCCAAAAGTTCATCTCGCCTTTGGGATGACGTTTATGGCCCCTGAAGCTAAGCCTCGAAGTGACAAACGACCGGCCTCCTTCATCTCATTGGCCCTCTCTTGACGCAAGGCCACAGCCACAGCGGCAAGGACAGGCACGGAGAGCTCGGAGGGAATCCTGGGCGAACAAAAATATAAAGGTATATGTAGGGGGGTATATAGGAGTTATATAGGGGAAGAAGATGAAGGGTCCCTTCTAGGGGTCCCTCCTTATATCTTAAGGTCTAGAGCCATAATGCATGCTTAGCTTGTTCCATCCGGCAATGTACAGGCCGATGCCAACACAGCCACGAACAACAACCGAGAAAGGCACAGGATGCTGACGACCCCAAACGCATGTTTATGATCCTGAACCCAAAGGATCCATGTACCTATATAGTATATACTTGGGCCGTAAAGCTACTATGTAGGAACCCCTTTAAAGCCCAAGTATATACTATGTAGGTACATGGATCCTTAGGGGAAGCCAGGCAAAGGCCCCACGCCAGGAACCCGTACCGTAACTAGCAACCAACCCTATGCAACTGTGCCGACGACATCTGTCAAGCCTGAAGCATCTAGCCCAAAAGCACCCCCATCATTCCCAAGAGACTGACACAAGCATTGCCGTCCGCAAACCTCCAGGTACCTCAGGTACCTTCTAACATGGTGCTAAGTGCCCTTTTTCATAGAGGCCTCCTCATCTGCTGGATAAGTATGCCTAAACCTCCCCCCCCTAAAGCTACCCAATCTAGTGTTTCTATTAATAGGACTTCGAGGCGCGCCACCATCCACCAAACTACCGCCGGAATCGATAAGGCGACTGGGGGAGCGGGTGGAAACCCGACTGCCTTACAGGGCTTACCCTCCAATCTTCCCTACTAACTAGATTCGGGGGGGGGGGGGGGGACTTTGCAACCAACCCTAAACCCTAAACCGTAAACCCTAAACCCTAAACCCTAAACCCTAAACCGAACACGATGCTGGCCCAGGCTCCCAATGTTGCGGCGCCCGGCGCGCTTCGCGCGGGCATCCGCAGCGGCCACCTGGCGAATGAGCCTGAGTCGGTGTTGGGGGTTTAGGGTTTAGGGTTTAGGGTTTAGGGCTTGCTTTGGGTTTTCAGTTTAGGGTCTAGGGCGGATTAGGGTTAAGGCTGCATTTGTAATCCCCCACCCGGCTACCAAGTGGCACCTCATCGTCTTCGAGTGCGCAAAAGGACCTAGAAACCAGACGTCGTTAGCAAGCCGATGCTGACCCTGCAAGCTTCTAGCCCTAAACCCTAAACCCTAAACCCTAAACCCTGAACCCTGAACCCTTTTTGCAATTGGCTTCTGCATGCTGCCGGGAGTGCTCGCTCGGTCTGATTCGGGCATCTGCTCCAAACTCCCATTACGTAGCCAGTGGTGATGGAATGTTGCTACGGTTGAAAGCTTGTATATCGCAATGGCCTAAGCTAATAAATAAATATAAATATACATATACATACAAAGATATATATATATATATGTATGTATGCATGCATGTGTGTGTGCGCGTACACACATACATATACACATACATCTACATATACATCTACATCTACATATACATCTACATATACATATACGTACTTATGTGTATGTGTGTGTGTACATTCTCTGCATGTATAAAATGATTATATATATATATATATACATCCCAAGCGAGGGCTTAAGTACTAAACCCTAAACTCCTCTTGACACAGTGGCTCCCAGTGCGGATCCGCATTGAAGTGGGCCGGCGCCATCGCTTCACAGGGGAGTGGGGTCCCTAAACCCTAAACCCTAAACCCTAAACCCTAAACCCTAAACCCTAAACCCTAAACCCTAAACCCTAAACCCTAAACCCTAAACCCTAAACCCTACCTTGCTATAATATACTTGGGCCCAAAAAGTCCCTTTCTAGGAGGTACTGTGCGGCCCAAGTATTCCCTATACAGGTACATGGACCCATAGGGCAGTTGCTTTGAGGATGTTCGTGCCAGGATTTGGGCTCGTTGTGGGCTCGAGGGCGTGGGTTCGTGAGCCCGATAGGTTCTCGACTTCTACAACTTGGGCTCTGCAAGTCTTTGTGGTCCTGTGCCGCTCAGAGGCAAAGGCAAGCTTAAATGCTTTGCGCACACCCCCCCCCTCCCCACTGCTGCGGGCGGCGAAAGACAAGTCTACCACTACGGACGAGGGCGGCATTAAACAAAACCTCGCGAAGGTGTTTGGATCTGCCCGCTTCTTCTCCGTGGTGTGGTCTGCGCGAGATGTGTATACTGCCACAGCCTAGCTGTCTGCATGATGTCCTGATGCTTTGGCAGCCGACTAATTATTTGCTTACGAACCCCAAAAGAACAAAAATCAAAAATCCCTATATTCCCCTCACTAAGGAAGAATATTTTTGGGGTTCTTAAGCAAATCCTATAACCCTATAACCCTGAACCCTATAACCCTATAACCCTAAGCCCTATACCTATAACCCCAAACCTATAAAATCAGTAGCAGCAGCCGGCCTTCTCGGGCCACTTGCGCCATGCGTGCAGGCCTTGGGCTTCATGTGGCTTAGGGTTTAGGGTTACAGGGTTCAGGGTTCAGGGTTCAGGGTTTAGGGTTTGGGGTTACAGGGTTTAGGGTTTAGGCTTTAGGGTTACAGGGTTTAGGGTTATAGGGTTATAGGGTTAAAGGGTTACAGGGTTAAAGGGTAATAGGGCAATAGGGTTATAGCACGGTTTAGCGTTTAGGGTTATAGTGTTATAGGGTTTAGGGTTATAGAGGTATAGGGTTATAGGGTTTAGGGTGATAGGGTTTAGGGCTTTTTGCGCTCCCGGTTTAGGGTTATAGGGTTAGAGGGTTTAGGGCTGTAAGGCTATAGGGTTTAGGGTTTTGGGCTATAGGGTTTAGGCATTCTGCGCACCCTTTTTAAGAGCCCAAACCTCGGTCGACCCTTCCAAACTCCGACCTCTGCGTAAGAATGGGACATCTTGGGCTCTTCCCCCCTTATACTAAGCTTTTTTTGGGAGGGGGTTTAGGGTTTAGGGTTTAGGGTTGGGATGTTCCCCCTTTCACTAAACACGTCCTTAATAGGGATGATAGCACCCCCCATTATAATCCCTATCAAGGACTGTTCGTATAAAGGGGAACACCCCATTGACATCCGATAATTAGGGTGGGCGAGTATCCTAGGAAGTAAGAAAGCGTACCCTTTTTTGGTTTCAAGTTGCTTACAAGGGAACCCAAACCCTGAACAAAAGGAAGTCCTAGTGGTAAGGCTTCTCCTACAGAATTCATCGCTCAGCTCGAGCCCGAAATCCCACCAAGAGAAATTGGGGCTTTCATAGCCAAACCGAGTCTCCCAGAGGATCGAGGTTGGCTGCTTCATGTCCTCGGACCTCGTCCAGGCATGGCTTTTTTGTTTTGTGGCAGGGGGGGGGGGGGGGGGTGGGAGAGGGCTTAGGACAGTAGGGTGTGCGGTTGAAACTTAGGGCTTCCGTACCAGCCGCAGACACCATCTTCTTTTCGCCCACATCACTCCCCACACATCCAAAACAAAGGAAAAGATGGCCCCCCCCACCCCCTCCGCATGGGTAGTGCTCACAAAGGTGCCGTGTGATACGGGCCACCCAACAATGGACCATCATTTTGAGAACTACCTTATAGGCTTTCGTATTTTCTGAATGGGGTTTGAAATTGTTCACTACATCCCTGCAACCAAAGCCCTCGATGCCAAAGGGACGCTTAAGTTCGCGGCCCTACCGATGTCTTGTCCCTAAACTCGTTCGATCAGTGGAAAACAGGCACCTCTAGGAACCCTGTACCTGAAGAAAAGTGAACCGATCAAACTTACAGGTGTACATCTGCCTTCTTTCAGGGTAAACAAGGTGATCTAGGTATACCCCCTAAACCCTAAACCCTGAACCCTGAACCCTAAACCCTAAACTCCATCAAGCCTATATATCCGAAGGACACATTTCGCCACAGGTGTACCCAGCCTGGTAGGCCCGAATCAGGTTTTGGAGCCCGCCAGTACCCCCGCTGCCCACCACACCTCAGGGCAAAGGATGAGGCTTAGGTTCCCCGAAGCCTGGGGTTTAGGGCTATAGGGTTTAGGGTTGGGGGTTTAGGGTTTAAAGGGTTTAGGGTTTAGGGTTGGGGGTCTAGGGTTTAGGGTTTTTGGGGTTTAGGGTCTAAAGGGTTTAGGGTTTAGGGTTCAGGGGGAAGGGTTAAGCCCTCAAACCCTTAAGCCCTGAACACCATACCCTAAACTGAAGACCACCCAGTCGCTCAGTTTGTTTGGGCTATACTCCCCTTAGAACCTTAATAAAAAGGTAATATCTTTAATATCCTCTTGGGTTTCATATAAACAAAATTAAAAGACCCCAAGGGGGATATAGTGAGGAAGTCAGGGAGCCATGGCATTTGGTGTTTCGGGTTGCAACGCTGTGACCAAAGATGTGACCATCAACCCCTGAAAACCTCAAGCCCCACTTCCCCTAAAAGGACCCCGTCAAAACATACAAAGACTCTTCCTCATAAGGGTTTAGGGTTTAGGGAAATGTAGGCACTATTGTCTGTTGAGTTCTTCATAAGACAAAGGAATTAAAAACAAAAAACAAGATTAAAAAAACATAAAAACATCACTGCTTGAAGCAGGTAGTAGTAAACCCCTCACCCCCAGCGACGGCGGCCTCCCTGGCCCATGGCGGTGCCCGCCTGCTCCGCCAGGGATTTCTTTTTTTGTTGGGCATGGGGGCGGTGGTGTTTAGGGTTTAGGGTTGATTGCCCAGATTCGCCCCAGCACTGCGTGAAGCAGCTGTCTGCCCTCTGTCTAAGCGACTCTGGAGTCTCCTTCCGCCAGTCAGCCTCAACGCCCCCCAAACCCAGAGGGTCCATGTACCTACATAGTATATACTTGGGCCCTAAAGCTACTATATAGGAACCCCTTTTAAGGCCCAAGTATATACTATATAGATACATGGACCCTTAGGGAAATGCGAGTCGATCGATCGGTCTACAGACGGACGTAGACATGTTGGAGAAAAACGCGGACGCCTCTTCCAGCCGAGGGGCTGGGTTTAGGGTTTTTAGGGTTAGGGATGAGGATCCGGTTTGAAGCTTGGGCTTTTCTGGGGGCTTTCCTAGGCTTCTCTCCTTGCGCAGCGGCCATGCTCATCCCTCCCGTGATCCTTCCGGGTGTGAGGCTTCCATCAACGGGTGCGTAGGGTTCGGGGTTTCGGGTTGCAACCCCCGCACTTCCCCTTAACAGGCTCCCATGTACCACATCAGTATATACTTGGGCCCAAAAGTCCCCCTATAGGAGGTACTTCATAAGGCCCTGAAGTAGACCCTACTTTGGCACCAAAGGGACTCATGGGGCTCCTGCAACCCTGATTTCGGGTTTAGGGTTTAGAGGGTTGAGGGTTTAGGGTTTAGGGTTGAGGGTTGAGGGTTTAGGGTTTAGCACGCACCGGCACATTTTGTCTGCAGATCGACCTGGTGGCCACTGCTAGGATGGAAACCCAAACCTTGCAGAAAGGGACTTGCACACTGCTTAGGGTTTAGGGTTTAGGGTTTAGGGTTTAGGGTTTAGGGTTTAGGGTTTAGGGTTTAGGGTTTAGGGTCCAGTAGCCTAGAAAACTAAAGGTTAACCTTGGGGGAATTGGGATTATACAGGGGTGATGATACACCGAAAAGGCTCAAGGTTGCCTATACTCTACTACTTAGCCAATGCCTGTATGTAATCCCCAGACCACCCAGCCCCTCTCCGTCTGGTTTCACAGATGACCCTTTGCGTCACTTCCGCCACAGCTGCTTTGCAGGCTGCTTGATTGCCCCTAAGGGTCCATGTACCTATATAGTATATACTTGGGCCTTCAAGGGGTTCCCCCCTAAACCCTAAACCCTAAACCCTAAACCCTATATAGTAGCTTTAGGGCCCAAATACATTCTATATGGGTACATGGACTCTTAGGGTGCGGGCATTGCAGAAACAGATCACTTTATCACATGGCGTGCCTGCCGGCGGCGCGCAGCTTCAGGGTTTAGGGTTTGGGGTTTGGGGTTTGGGGTTTGGGGTTTAGGGTTTAGGGTTTAGGGTGCAACGGTGTGTTCAGGCGGATTTGGAGGTCTTTGGAGCCCCCCAAGCTACCGGAGGAGTAAATCAAGTAGCCCTGCTGTGAAAGGTGAGAAAGGTAAAACTTAACTGCCCCCACCCACCTAAAGCAGATTCCAAACCCAAAGCCCAAAAAGCTCTTGAGAAGTCAGTCCCACTCGGAGTTCAGCCAGGGCTTTTGACATTTCCAACCTATGGGCTGTTTGGATACCCCATGGTGCGACGCGGGGCATGAGCCTTGTGAGGTGCACGCGAATTTCAGCAACAGGCATGGAACCAGGAAACAGGTATTGAGAAATAAACTGGCCCCTCTTGTCAGCTGCCAGACTCCAGACTGGACGCCAACTGCCATATCAAAGGCTTGTAGACTCAGTTCCTGACAGCTGTGTGCTGAGTCGGGGAGTGCTTGCCCACCCCAATGATACAGTCATGTCACGGATGCTTTTGGACGGGTTTGGGGTTTAGGGTTTGTAGCGCCAGTATCAGCAGCAGCAATTCAATAGCCGCAACAGCAGCAGTACCAGACTAGTAGTACTATTCGTGAATATACTTCTTAAGGACAAATGCTGCATAAACATAATCTGCGAAGAACTTTTGAACAAACAGACTATACTACATTCTACTAGTTTTCCGTATCTGAATATGTTATATATGGCAACCATGTGTATACTTGCACACATACAACCATGCACATCACGACCCTGTAGCACGCATCAGAAATGTTCAGGTATGATACAGAGCTAGCCAATGGGGAGCTTAATTTCTTAGCAGCGGTTCAACACCAGATACGACTATCTGCTTAAGAACCCCCCAAACCAAAAAAAGGCAATCAAGAAATATCAATAACAGATAATAATCACCACAGTGCCCTTGTAAGGAAGAATATTTGCTTTTCTTTGGGGGGGTTTCTTATAAGCAAATAGCAGGAGAATCGGTCGCCGACGGTGCCGGCATGTTGAATCTAGGTTCGGTCACTTGGCTTGTCCAGCGAGCTGTTGAGAGCTAAGCCCTTCTGTGGCTCAGCCTGTGGGGCACGCGAATTTTATCAGCTCGAGCTACCAACTCGCTCCTCCTTCGCCTACAGACCAGATAGGTTAACTTTTGGGATTATCAGGGGATTCTATTACCCCAAAAAGGCTAAAAGGTTGCCTACTCTACACGAAAGGGCAGCTTCAGTCACAGTGAACTTGCTGTTGTGGCAGCGTGCCACAACATCATCTGCTCAGAAAGCTGATCGATACCCATCCCAAGCCAGCTCACCGGAACCCCAACCCTACAGTCCCTAAAGCCTAAACCCGGAGATAGAGAGGGTTGGTAGCACGGTTTCCGCGACACCAGGGCTTGCGTTGAAGCTGAAGCTTGCCTGCCAGGTATAGCACTCCTCACAGGCGCTTCATGGCTCCCAAGGCGGATGTTGGGGGTGGGTCGGGAGGGGGAAAGGACGGGTGAAACAACCGACCCAAGAAGGGCAGTACCCAAACTTTTTTGGCAGTGCTGCCAGAACCTGTCTAGCTGAGGTTGAAGGGAGCGGCTTCGAAAAAACTAGGGTTTCGGGATTCTCTGAGGTTTGGGGTGTTAACATGGCTCAGTTTCGGGCCTAAACCCTAAACCCAAAACCCTTCTCTTGCTTCAGGGCTCCTGTGGTAGCAAACCCAAAACCCTTATAACCCCTAAACCCTATGAAAACCCAAACCCTAAACCCTAAACCCTAAACGTCCCCTCCAAACTGTTTAGGGCACTTCCACTCTTGGGTCTCTTGGCCTACAGGGCCGGGAAGACGCGAGCCCGCTGCATCGTCTGGCAAACCCTGCAAACCCTGCAAGCCCTGTTAACCCTAGGGTTTAGGGTTTAGGGTTTAAATTCAGGGTTTACAGGGCTTAGGGGCCGTGGGGGCGCGAGACTCTGCACTTTCACGGGTGGACTTGTTTTTTTTGGTGCCCTTTCCGAAACAAACTTCCGCATGCGAAAGGCAGGTCTACAACAATCAGACGCTTCCTCTCTCACCCTCGACTTTCTGGTGTGCGTTTTTGGCTTCGTGCAGCCGGGACCCGTTCTTCAAAAAGCACGCTTTTCAAAAAGCCACGCCCCTCTAACGAGGCATTGGATATGCCTGCCTAGGCCAGCTCGCCCGCCGACTTTTGTTGTCATCACCGGGCTGGTTGGAGCATGTTCTTACTTCCCATCATCTTTAGAAAAGTGCTAGAAGTATGGGAGTTTACGATGTTAGGGGTACCTTCTTGGGGTCCTTTTTATAAGGGGCTCCTACTATTTTGGGGGGTCTATATGAGGTGTCCCCTACTTTCGGAAAGCCCACTATCAATTTCACTCCTGAATGCGCCTGCAGATCACCCGGTGGCCGAGCTCCAGGCTCATGGCCGAGGGTTAACGCGAGTGCGTCGCGTGCGTCAAAGATGCAACTTGCCCCTGCATTCGGTAGAGCTCCGTCTCCACGAACTCCCAGAAGCCTCGGGTGGCAAGACCGGCTCAGGGCCTATAGGGTGTAGGGTTTAGGGTTTAGGGTTGGGGTTGAGGATTTACAGTTTAGAGTTTAGGGGTTGAGGGGTTTGAGGGCTTTGTGCCCTAAACCTTCTTAGGTTTCAGTGGTTCAGGTGCCTGTCAGGTTGGACTGGATGGGCACAACTTGGCTCAATATCTACCCAGAGACTCTACTGCTATTTGCTTAAGAACCCCAAAAGAATATAAAGAAAGATATCCCATCCCCCCCCCCCCCCCCCCCCCCTTCCCCCCAAATTTGTCTGGGGGGGTCGCCGGGCCACGCGTTTATAGAGGGTCCCAAATTTGTTTGGGGGGGAGGGGGGGGGGGGGGCCCTACTAAAGACAGTGCAACATTACTCTATAAGTGAACCTAGAGCCGACAAAACGAGCAAGAGGGCACCACGGGGCTACCAAGTATATGTATGCATCCTGTCTTTCTCGTTGAGGCGCTCGCGCGCGCGCGCGCGCGCGTCCAAGAGTCCTTGCTTTGAAGCCTCATTTGTGTCTACGGATCAGCCAGGCGACCTTCCCTACACCCTATCCCTAAACCCTAAACCCTAAACCCTAAACCCTCAACCCTCAACCCTCAACCCTCAACCCTAAACTCCTAAGCAAGCAATGCCTTTGCAGCCCAGGGGCGCGCTTGCTCTCGAATGAGCCACGTTTGGTCGTGGCAAAGCTTTGCAATGTCCTGGGATAGCCCAGAGCTTGCCCCCGTGGACTCGACGGTTTGGGTTTCAGGGTTCAGGGTTCAGGGTTCAGGGTTTAGGGTTTAGGGTTTAGGGTTTAGGGTTTAGGGTCACAAGGAGAACTGTACCAGTTTCAGTGTTTAGGGTTTAGAGTTTAAGGATAATATAGCGATTTTTTGGATGGCCTTCAAAATTAGAATAGGGTGGTGGTGGGGGGTGGTAGCGGGGTGGCTATTGCAGTAGAAGTATATAGGAACCATAACGGAATATTATTTGTAGCTATTCCGAATCCTACGTTAAACTCTCGCCCCCCCCCCCCCCCCACACACAAAACACCCCCCCCCCCCCCCCCCCCCCCCGCCAAAAACAACTGTAAACCCTAAACCCGAAACCCTAACATTTTCTTGACCCGGGCATCCATTGCTTTAGCGTTGCCCCGCAGGCGCAGGCATCCCAACAGAAACTCTTCGATTTCCACGGCACCTCCAGCATCCATATCCTGAAATTGGGTTTAGGGTTTAGGGTTGAGGGTTTAGGGGTTAGGGTTTAGGGTTTAGGGTTTGGGGTTTGGGGTTTGGGGTTTAGGGTTCAGGGCTTGGAGTCTAGGGTTTAGGGCTTCTTTGTTGCCACCCGCACTGCCCTAGCTCTCGCGCGACTCCGAAGGGTTTAGGGTTTAGGGTTTGGGGTTTAGGGTTTAGGGTTTAGGGTTTAAGGTTTAGGGGTCAAATGGCGGCCCTCGAGCCGGAGACCCTTCCTCAACAACCAGTAGGCGTGTTTTTTTGGGTTCCGTGGTATTCATATCATCCTGATGGAACCCATTCTTTAAAACATAGTAGGTTTAGGGTTTAGGGTTCTTGGGCTACACCCTCGGCTTAAGAGCTGAACCCCACAAGGGCAGCATCTAAGCAAGGAACTCAAAGATGACTTTCTTGTCGCTAGCCCATCCCTCCGACCTCAAACCTACAGTGAACTCCAGAAAGTTGGAACATGGTCTAAGGATGATTAGAGCCGGGATTCCCTTTACCATACATTCTGCGGTACGGGGATAAGGATGTTCCAACTTTCTGGAGTTTACTGTAACCCAAAGAGCTTGTCCAAAGAGTGCCGCGCCCCCTGCAACATGCGTCCGTCAGGCTGCAAACGAACCCCAACGGAAGCATTGCTTAATTACAGGGCTATGGCCGGCAAAGATCTCAAAAACCGTTTGACTTCTTGCCGAAGGGACCAAAAGCTTGAAAAATGTCCATGCATCCCACACGTCCAGGTCAATTGACTCGAAGTACGTCTTGACCTGGTGGCCCGCCACAGTCTACGCCTAACCCCCACAGCATGCAAACTCGAGGGGAGGTAAAACTATGCTCAAGGCATACATATTATACCTTGGGGACCAATTGAACCCTAACATTGGGGGTCAGATGCCCTATACTACTATAAGCCCTGCTAAGGTACATGAACCATAAACCCGTTTAGGGTTCATTTGGTCCTCAAGGCAAGTGTACACACCCTAAACCCTCAAGCCTAAACCCTAAGCTCACAAGAGCGGATGCTAGATCAATCCCAGCCAGCCCATAGCTCTCGCCGTGCGGTTTAGGGCTTAGGGTGTAGGGTTTGGGGTTTGGGGTTTGGGGTTTGGAGTTTGGAGTTGCTCGAAAACCGCAAGCATTGTATGATTTAGGGCTTGGAATTTTGGCGTATTGGAGTGTGGCAGCCTCCAACAACACGAAGCATCAACCCCGAACCCCGACCCTCAAGTGCCCCCACTTGGGGTGTTCCCGCTTCTCCTAACAGTCCTTAGTAGGGATTACTCAAAGGTTCATAGTACTTAGTAACTAATTATAACTGTATTTGTAACACACGTTTAAGCCCCTTAAGTGCCCTAATGTGGGAAAAAACAGTTCCTGAGTACAGCTATAATTCGTTACCAAGTACCATGAACCTCCAAGTAGAGTACCCCCTATTATTATCATCCCTATTCAGGACTATTCGTATAAAGGGGAACATCCCAAGGCCACATTTGTGCAACCGGGGAGCTTCCTGGGACATGATCCTCTCCTGTGGAAGCTTCTTATTGCTGCAGCTCGGGAACGCTCAACTTCAAACCCTACCTGGGACTCTCTCTACCCCACAGTTTTTATGGGATATACCTACGAATTAAGGGGTAGTTGCTACTCAACTGTAGGTAAGTAAAGTTCCAGGTATGCCCTAAACCCCTTCTTCAGCAGCACAAAGCAATACGGAGAACAGCACTGACACGTCCGTTCTTTCCCGGAGGGGGCCCAACTGCTGTGACCCGATGGGCTGAGCTGACCCTACACACTAAGCACACTGGATGGCCCTTAAAACACTCTGGAACAGATTCTAAAATATGATCCTCTGAAACCCAATAAGGGAAAATATGAAATATCCCAAGGGCCTATCTAGTACTTTGTTTGGAGAGCGCAGCTTTCTAAGAGATTTTCAACATACCCCTGGCATACCCCTCAGAAGAAATAAGGGGTATGGGAAAATCATTCCTTGTATTTTCCTTTTAGAGGTAGAGGGGTATGGGTCTGGGGTATGTGAAATTGTTCCTAGGAGCTTTGCGAGACGAGCGTGGCGGCTGCAAGCGTTTAGGGTTCAGGGGCGCGCTCACCGAATATGCCAGGCACAGGTGCATCTTTGTCCAGGGATTTGGGCCTTTCGATTGTAGAATAGACAGCTTCTCGACACTCAGTCGCACAAGGCAGAGACTGTAAGTATTAAGGTTCGACACGAGTCCATATGCATGACTTTTAAGGTCGAAGATTATTTTTCCCCCTGCATGTTTCGCGGGTAAGCTGGGACTAAAGCGAAGACTACCTAAACCCTATAAACCCTAAAGCCTTTTGTCACTGGACTGAAGGCAAGCCAGACTCCCAACCCTAAACCCTAAACCCTGAGCCCTGAACCCTGGAGCAGTGGAAGGGTGCGGGCTGAGGGAGTGGGCGAGAAATCTAAATCGACTACAACACCTTCAGCCTTCAAAACTCAACATCCCCTACTGCAACAGAGTGCGAAGAGGGGCTGCCAGCAGGATCGAATGCGGGAGCCTGCAAAAAAAAAGATACAACCCTCGATGTGCAGCAGTTGCTCCTGAAACATCTGGAAGGTAATGACCCCGCTTTCCGCGGCATCGATCTCTGTGAACAACATCCTGGGCCGCGCGAAAAAGCTTCAGGCGCGTTTTAACCCCTAAGGGTTCATGTACCTCATTTATCATATACTTGGGCCCAAAAGTCCCTATATAGGAGACACTTGAAGCCCCAAGGACTCCCTATGTAGGTACATGGACCCTAAACCCTAAACCCTAAACCCTAAACCCTAAATCCCATTTAGGTATGGGCCCTTAGGGAAAAGCTTCGGGCGGGGTGTGTCGGCCAGCCTTGATCCCAGGAAGCTCAGAACCCTCAGCCCCCCTTAAACCCTTCAGTCCGCCCGCCTGATCTCTTGTGAGTTTTAGGGTCTCTGGGTTTAGGTTGGGTTCGGCCGGTCCACACTAACAGTCAAATAACGCCGTGGCCTTATAACACACAGGCCAAAAATAGCACCAGGAATCCCAGTCAATTTTAGCATTTACCGGGTGCTTATTTTTGTGGGTCTGCTGGTGGTGACTGTTAGTCACATAGCAGCAGAAATAGCACCAGAAATAGCACCAGAAATAGCACAAACAATAGCACAAAAAATAGCACCAGAAATAGCGCCAGGAATAGCACAAAAAATAGCACCAGAAATAGCACAAACAATAGCACCAGAAATAGCACCAGGAATCCCAGACAATTTTATCAGCTTAGCATTTACCGGGTGCTGTTTTTTGTGGGTCTGCTGATGGTGATTGTTAGTCACATAGCACCAGCAACAGCACCAGAAATAGCACAAACAATAGCACAAAAAATAGCACCAGAAATAGCACCAGGAATAGCACAAAAAAATGCACCAGAAATAGCACCAGGAATAGCACCAGGAATAGCAGGAATCTCAGTCAATTTTTTGGCATTTACCGGGTGCTTTTATTTGTGGGTCTGCTGGTGGTGACTGTTAGTGTGGACCGGCCGAACCCAAGGTTGAGGGTCTATGTGTTTTAGGGTCTATGGGTTTAGGGGATTTACTTAGTTGTCCAGTAGCCTGGGGGCAAAGGTTCACCTTTGGGATGATAAGGGGGTTGTACTACCCCCCAAAAGGTTAAAGGTTACCTACTCTACTACGAAGTCCACGCATGCACTTGTCTTGATGCACGGCAAGTGCTTAGACAACCAGCTACAAGTAACTCAATAGCTCCGAATAGGGGTCCAGCCCCACAGACCTTCATATGCCTATAGGCTGTTTAGGAAAGCATCTTGATCTTCTCGATGTGGGCTTCCTTGTTGTTCAAGATGGACTGGATCACCATGTCCTCATGCTGCATCACACCATGAACTTAAAGTCAACCCTAGGGCCCGAGATCCTGACTTAGGGTTTAGGGTTTAGGGTTCAGGGTTTAGGGTTTAGGGTTTAGGGTTTCGCGTCTGGCTGACTAGGGTTCAAGGGTTTGGGGGTTTGGGGCTTAGGGCTTCGCTTCTGGCATCGGCATGCAGGTCCCAAAGGGTGGACCATGTTCTACAATCGAAACACCGGCAAACAAGCGCAGACGTTCGGCAATGTGAGATGGACGTTTCCTTTCACCGACTTCACACTTTGCGGGTCCCTCCTCCAATGCATCAAACCAGATGCCTGAACGCAACATCCATTGAAAGCTTCTGCAAAACCCGATCCACCAGGTACACAACAATATGCCAAATGCAGTCCAATGAGCGTGATCGCTTTGGGCGCTCTCAATAGCACTTTGACAGAAGACGCCCGTCACCTGGAAATTTGAACTAACTAACTAACTCTGTTCGGGTGCTGGCAGACCCCAAATGCACAACTAACTAGCTAACTTTGTTCGGGTGCCGGCAGCCCCCCCAAGGACAGCCGGCACCCCTGTTGCCCCATGCGGGCGCACAGGGCGAGTATACCTCAACAAAGCAATAGAAGAAGAAAAAAAATTAGACCATGACGAATGCCTCTCAGGGAGCACCCCTGCTCCCCCCCCCCCCCCCCCCGGGGCAATACGCCATCTTGCAAGTTGCAAGAAGCAAGCAACAACCTCATATTGGCAAAGGGCAGGCACATTGCCATTGTCACTTGAGATGTGTCGGCTAACGGCGCCAAACAATACCCTTCACCTTGAAACTTGCCATCCGTCCATAAATTTCTCATGACTAACCCCTAAACCCTATAACCCCCAAACCCTAAACCCTCTTTGCTTAGGTGCCAGCAGCCCGCTAAAAGACAGGGCACCCTGGTTGCCCCATGCACAAAAGTACCGGGCAAATCTACTACAGCAAAACAAAGAAAGCAGTAACCTGTCAGAGTTCGGTTGAGGAAACCCTAAACCCCAAACCCCAAACCCGAAACCCGAAACCCTAAACCGGTGAGTCATAAGGAAATGAGGGATCCAGTCAAAGCTGAAACCAACCCACGGAAACAATACCCCCACTGGGCGCGGCACCACGTTTAAAACGGCCAGCGACGAGAAGGCAATGTAGAAGATGTACCTTGAGAAGACACGAGATTCGAGGTTCGGGTGTGCTCAAACGTCTCGGTTCAAGGGCCGTAAAGCTTTAGGTTGCTTGCGGCCAAAGGCCTCACCTTTGCTTCTACACTTCGCGAATGGCAGAGGCCAGAATGGCCCTAAACCCTAAACCCTAAACCCTAAACCCTAAACCAAGATAGTGCCGGAAGGGTTCGACTAGCTAGGTGCTGCCCAGGCACATCAGTACCCACACCCAGCTGATCGCCTTCATGCAGACGGGTTCCCAATTCTGTGTGTAGGGTTTAGGGTTTAAGGTTTAGGGTAGTTCTTTTGGCTCTAGCACAGTGAAGGAAGCGACAGGCGCAACGGCCATCTCTGGCTGATGGTCGTCACCATCGAGGATGTCTCTCAAGTTAGCTGGACCCCTCCGCTCTACCCAAACTCTATAATCCTAAACCCTAACCTCAAACCCTAAACCCCCCGGACGAGGCCAAGCTTGGCCTTCCCTTTGCCTTCTTGCTACAGCTAAACCCTTTTGAACCCTAAACTCTAAACCCTAAACCCTAAACCCTATACCCTATACCCCAAACCCTAAACCCTAAACCCTAAACCCAAGCAATCTCGCGAGCGGCTGACATGGGCACTCCAGAAGATATGAGCCCCTTCCCTCCCTGCTTGGGACGAAATGAACCTAAACCCTAAACCCTAAACCCTAAACCCTAAGATTGGGGTCAAATTACCCTGTTCTCCTAGAATTCCTACGAAGGTTTGAGAGCCAACCCTAAACCCTAAACCCTAAACCCTAAACCCTAAACCCTAAACCCTTTTAGGTTTCACTTCATTCCCAAGGCCTCTCACCCCAAGCTCCAAGTTTGTTAGTTCAAGCTGGCTCTTCCGTTGCTGGGTAAGACCCCGTCGCAACAGGAACTCCTAAACCCTAAACCCTAAACCCTAAACCCTAAACCGAAAAGCTTCCAGCTGTTGCCCATGAGGCTCGTACGACACTGCATGGTGGATCAGGAAAACGGCCAAGTGTCCCATCATCCTAACGATGTCTGCCCTAGGACGGTTCTAAAAACCCTCTGAACATATTCCTGAGTATGATCCTCTTAAACCCCAACAAAGAAAAACAAAGGAAACTATGAAATGTTCTAAGGGCCTAGATCCCAACTCCAAATCCCTCAAAGCCTCAAACCCTCCGCCTGCAGGGGATCCAGCACCTGCTCCCAGCTAACGCCTCCGGCGATGCTCATGTAGAGGGCCGTCATGGCTCTCCTGGTGCTGTCTGGCTTAGGGTAGGGTTTATGGTTTAGGGTGTAGGGTTTAGGGTCATCGCGGATCTCACAAGCCTGCAGCAGTGTTCGCAAAGACCCAAACCAGATGAGGATGTTTGCAGGCGACAGCTCTGCTCAGTCCGCTATCAAGGATGTAGCAGTTTGTTTGTCACCCGCAGAAAGCAGAACACGAAGCAGGGTTTTGGGTTCAGGGTTGCCACCAACAACACTTACAGGTTCATGGGTAGTCATAAGTAGGAATATAGTCTAAATAAGGTCATAACGATAGCTACCATACGAATCTCTCACATACAGCTACCCATGAATCTCCAAGTAAGCCTTCCGAGTGATTCGGGGCTACGTGTTTCTTTGCAGGTGCGGGTGTGGCACGCAGCCTCCAGCCTCAACCTATCAAAAACGGGGTTGCTGACAAAGGTAATCATCGGACGTCGTCTTGTTCGCCATGTTTTGATCTCTATAAGTCTCCCACATTATGGTGGTTTACGTCGAAGTTCCGGAACGGAAGGCCGGAACATCATAGAACCCTAAACCCTTAACCATCTGAAACTCAGGCTGGGCCAAGCGTCCAGAGGTTCCCAAAGTAGCGCAGCCCCATCTCCCTTTCGAATTCGCTGAGGTTGACCTGTTGTGGCGGGTCTTGACATTCTTTCAACCTGAGAAAACCTGAAAACCATATTCAAATCAACAAGGCAAAGCCCTAATCAACCAACCCTGAAAACCCTCTAAACCCTAAACCCTAAACCCTAAACCCTAAACCCTAAACCCCAAGCCCAGAACCATGAAGGCCACCTCCTCACTCTCAAACGCATCGTTCACCACTTGGGTAAAGAGAATCCCGAAGCTGTACCTTGGGAGAAGGGCCGAGACTTGTGGGGTTTAGGGTTTAGGGTTTAGGGTTTTTGCCTAGCTGACTAAAACCAACCGGTTTAGGGTTTAGGGTTTAGGGTTTAGGGTTTAGGGTTTAGGGCGACGGAGGGCGCCGCGAGATGATGTAGGGAGCCAACCAGAAAAGGCGCTGTATACCACCCTAAACCTAGACCCACGAGTAACCCAGGAATGAAAGGGGTGGCCTTTTTGGTTTCAAGGTGCTTATAAGGGAACCCGAACCCCAAACAAAAAGCGAATAAGGGCCTGCTCTGGGTGCTGGAAACCGAAACCCATACCGTCAAGCTTGGCTTTGCGAGGTTCCTGGATCTTTTAGGGACATGCAGACGCTTGAGCAGGGTTTTTAGGGCCCCCCAATTACCTGCGCACGTGAAGGCGACTTACCCGAAAAATAAGAGATGGCCCTAACTATAGGTCGGGGTATATATTCCTCCCGGGGCGCACGGTTTGAAGGTAGGGTTTCAGCCACGCTGAATACGCGTCCTCCGCATCCCTTGTTCTGTGAGCCATGCTGGACGACTCTAAACGCCAGCGTGCGCCCCCCCCCCCCCCCCCCTCAACTGCCTGCTCTGTTTCGATCCGATCTCTTCTGGGATCCCACCCCAGCCTATAGATGTAGGTGCTATGGTTTAATTCGGGCTTAGGGTTTACATCTTAAACCCGGCAAGGCAGGGTTTGGGGGGTTGCAACGAGTAAACCCTGGACCTTTGGCAGAGTTTTGCCCTGTTTTCTGCACGTACGGTTGCCGCTAGGTGCTGATCTGTTAAAAAAGTAGACTCTCCTCAAGGGTAGTCGCTCAGATGCAAGACGGAGACCCGCATTGAGAACACCCCCCCCCCATTTACGTAGCTTATCAAGGCCGGTGGCCTGTTTATCTGTTGCCCTTGAAACCTTGATATGGCCCCTAGATACCCTAATAAGAACCCCGAAAAGAGACCGCCAACCCATATAATGCATAGCTGTTATTCTTCAAGTGGCTATACTACCCTTCGCACCTCGTATTCCTTATTGGGAATTCAGTATGACAAAAAAGTAAAGTTATAACCAACAAGGACCCAGTACATCCTTAATGGCCCTAAACCGCTTGAAGGCCTTGGGATTCAGTGTGGTGTCGCCATTCAAAGCCAAGGCGCACGATGAGCAGAAGCAGAACCATGGCCCAAATCAAGGACTTCAGGGTGTAGAGGATGGACTGCGTCCTTGGCACGGGTTTAGGGTTTAGGGGTTTAGGGGTTTAGGGTTTAGGGTTTAGGGTTTAGGGTTTAGGGTTTAGGGTTTAGGGTTTAGGGTTTAGGGTTTAGGGTTTAGGGTTTAGGACATCCCCGCTGCAGCCCAGCAGACCCTGAACCCTCGAAAAGAGCCCGTCGACATCGACTTCGGCCGGTAACCATATAGGAATGAGCTTTAGGGTTTAGGCAGGGTTCAGGGTTTAGGGTTGAGGGTTGAGGGTTTAGGGTACCCTTTCTGGGGGTTGGGAAGCTAGAACCAACCAAGAAGGGTTTAAGACCATTGGGCCACCTACCACTGGGCTACCAAGTTGAAAGGTTTGGGTAGAGCACAGGGAGTCGAGCCAGGTTCGCTTGATGGGGCTCCTGTCTGGCATTGCATACCTTGAGGCAAGCGGCAGCGTCCGTAGGGCCATGACGAAGCGGAGAACCCGCGCCAGGCGCGCAACTTTCACCAGCCGCGTGATGCGGATGATCCGGAGCGTACGTATGCCGGTGATCCCGGCGAAGGTACCTTAACAGCGCGCTTTCGGCTTCTCAGCCCCTGACCTCACAACAAATCTTGGCTAAGGGCAGTTTCGCTCATGAAACCAAGGCACTATCAGTACCATCCGGGCTCAGCAACAGCTGAATTTCCACGGCGACCTCCCAGTGCGGCATTGCTCCACAGTTTTTTTCGAGGGGTGGAGAGCTGTTTAAACGGACCGTTGGAGGGAAGAAGTCCTCAGGTTCGCCCTCAACCCGTTAAGGGTTTCGTTGTTTTTTTCACGGCAGGCAAGGCTTCTGGAGGTCACTATTTCGAGAAGCCTGCCGTGCAGGGTTTAGGGTTGCAAGCCAATATGGGGCTACGTGCCGACTTGAACCCATTCTGTCAATCATAGGAACGCCGTGCCAACAAGGGAAAGTGCGCCAAAGTGTCTGGACTCTTCATCTATGGAGAATATTTATGGGAGCTATATATATATACACATATATTGCCATATGGGCAACATCTCTTCCCCGTGTTGAGTCATTTGCTTTCTTGGCACGTTCACGTCGCGATCTGGCTTAGCAGTCCGCCTTGGTTGAGATGTACCCCGTCTGTTAAAGCTTTACCTGCACCCAAGAACAACCTAGGAAACGAAGGGTACGCTTTTTGGCTTAGAGGAGAGTAGAAGGGAACCTCAACCCTAAAGAAGGAATAAGGGCCTACTCAGGGTTAGTTTATGACTACACAAGGCAAGACTGGTAGGGAACCAGAGAACTGGAGTGGGTTCGGTCGCCATGGCCTCCCACCACGAGGCAAAAACGATGACGGAGTCAAGGCAGTTCCACCTGACATGCAGTGTTGCTGTTAGGTTTTGTAGGGTTTTTTTCGCTCACACTCGGACAGGCCAGGCGAGGTACACAATATTTTTTGGGGTTTAGGGTAAGAAGTGTTTTTTTGTTTTCTGGCCCGCAGGGGTTGTAGGGTCTAGGGCTTTGAAAAAAAGATCCGGCTTCCGCTGTGCGGTAGAGTTCAACTGTTGGCGAAGTCAATGTCAATGGGTCCTCAAGCCCAAAACCTTAGTATAGCACGCACACATCCCCCTCCATACTAACCCGCCCTGGGGTCCCCCTCAGATGACCTTCATGTGACTGAATCATCCCTCAATAGTCTTCATTTTGGGGTCCATATAGTGGGGGGGTGGTAGGCGAACCCATGAAATCTGGACCCTTGGAGATTTGGTGAGTTCTGTAAATTGTGGTCCCACTTTTGGGGTGCCCGAAATATTCGCCGGCTTCTGATAACTAAACCTCGAAGCCTAAAACTGCGCAGAGCTGACACAACATTGTAGCTTAGCTCTGCAGCTTGGGTCTCTTGGTTTAAAGAGCCCAGGGCTCGTAAGGGTGTGTTTTAAGGGGATTCAAGTAGGGTTTAGAGTTTAGGGGTACATACTCCCCACTACTCCCTAAGGCTCCTGAAGCTTCCCTAAGACTCCTCCGGTACCTACCCACATGAACCCCGCTCCCTTGAGAACCCCATGAACCGTAATCTTGTTGCTATCTGGTGCTTTGTCCGTCCTTGCTCCCGAAGTAAATAGAGCGCATGTCTCACTTATATACTTCGTTCCTTGTATTTCTTCAGTATGAAGCATCATCAAGGCATGCACCTTATGCACGTTAACATCTTAGAAAGTGAGATTAAAGCCCCCAAGGTGTCTGCGGTCCCCGAACGTAGGCTGAGGTTCTGAAGGAACATCAGAATCTGAACAAAAGACGCTCATTACTTAGCTTTGGAGTAGACCCTGGAAAAATATATACTTTGTAGGTATAAGTAGCTATAGTAGGAACCCAGAAGCAAAACAATACGAAAGTATAGTATTCCAAGACCCTGATTATGGAGCTCAGAGTTCGGGAATCAGCATGCGCTTGGGGTTCTACTGCATGATCTGAGGGCCGCCCCGCGATGCATGCAAGAGGGTTAGGGTTTAACCCTAAAAACTAAACCCTGAACCCTTTTGCATCCGGGCTTGGGGAACCCTGAACCCTGAACCCTGAACCCTGAACCCTGAACCCTGAACCCTGAACCCTGAACCCTAAACCCTAAACCCTAAACCCTAAACCCTAAACCCTAAACCCTAAACCCTAAACCCTAAACCCTAAACCCTAAACCGCCGCCCTTCTGGCCTCCGGTCCTCACCACAGAAGAAGTCTTTTCGCTGTGCTCCCAAGCGAACGAAGAGCTCGAAGCT